GATATCCACCCGTCGAGGAAGCAATTACCGGCTCTGTCGGGCTCTGTCTGACTTAGGAGCCAGGGTGGGAGGGCCACTCCGCTTCCCGACATGTGCACCCCATCAGGTTCACTTTCACTCTTGGTCTCATCTGAATAGCCCTCGTCGAGTCTGAATGGATTCGCAACCGACGAGCCCCCAAACCCTACCCTGTATTTTCCCGATTGCAACCTCCTCATGTGCGGCAGGTCCGCTGAATCTCTCGAGTTGTGGCCCATCAAGCTAGTGGCCGGCAAGCGGCGGGTAGAACGACCGTGGTTCAACAAAGGAACGAAGCCACAAAGAAGGCAAAGGCCAAGGATGCGTCGATATTATTAGTCGCAGGGAGGAGTTGCAGGAGGCCGGGTCCTTGGGGGAATTCGTCCGTTTTGTGAGGGACGCTTCGGGACGCGGTTAGTCGTCGTCGTCGTCGTCGTCGTCAACAAAGGAGCTTTCCAAACACGACCAGGATCGAGGAACAATGGGAGACTGCGATCAGGCGAGGCAGCCTAGGCCGAACGAGACATTCAGGGTGCCCAAGAGTAATATCAGGGGCGTGTTAAATTAATCAAATGTGGAAAGACAAGGGTCTCGATGGCTGTTCAGTGCTCAGGCGGGAGGACATCGTTGTCGTCGCCGTCATGGATGCTGGATATGGGGCTTATGTCAGCAGCCACTCTCGTCTCAACGCGCGCATATTTCTGGCTGTTGCGACGAGGCCTTTGCACGCCCACAAGACTACGGTCAAGGGCCCCGACCGTGCCTGAGCCGCTGCCACACGAGCCGAGATGAAACTGCTCTTCCCAAAGCCGCATGAATTCACAGCATCGCCATCGTCGCTCGCTCGTGCAGAGCAGCGGATGACATAAGCACGGTGACAGGCGCGGGACGGGGCGCTAACCCGAGGCGGCCTAGCGCGGCCGGGCCAACTGTAACGGTAGGCCCAAAGCGGCCTAGCGCGGCGCAGTGGTGCAGGGCAGCATAATCATTGCTCCGTGACATGCGCAGTCAACCTCCTGAAACAGCCCAACCCGACCGCTGGCCCTCTCGCTCCCTTCTCCCTCCATAACTTCGCTCTGGACGCCCCCGTCTGCCTGCTGCATCTCTGCATTTCATGCTCTGCCGGTCTTGATCCAAACCTGCTCGCGTCGTCGACCCTCCGTCTTCGCGATTTTTGAGTTAGTCCAGAAGCTTTTTTGGGCTCCAGCTCTCTCCACACGTCCCTTTTTCCCGCAAGCATCGCACAGTCAAATCGGCCCTGGAACTCCTGCTCTCTCGACCGCCGTCTTCACATGTCCCCTGCCTGACTCGGGTTGTCTCTGCAGCTTCAGGGTAAGCTAAGACTTGCATTCACTCGTCGCATGTCAAGTTTGTGTCTTTGTGCTGGCCATACCCGCTGAACTGTGCTCAGATAGTGCCCTCTATCACTTGCTCTCTTGCCCTGCCCCCTCACCCTCTGTATCGATTTCGAAACTCCTGCTGTCGTCTGCCATTGCGCTCCTTGCTGCAAACTCATGCTCGTAGTTGCTGCCACGGTCCAGGGATCCTGGCCAGCGTTTTCCACGGACGTGTGAGCGCCTTTTTGGCACTGTCTGTCTGGTCCACGAACATCACTCTGCGACGAGATGGATTCCGCGATAAGCCCCGGCCATGTGATGGCCGAAGATAATATCATCAATCGGAGAGGAGGCGAGTCATTATATCAAAGCTGCGCCAATCTGAAAAAGCGACTCGCAGAGGTCCCCGGCTTCGAGCCGCATCTTGCAGAAATGGAAGCCCTGGATAAAGCCCAGGAAGTCAGCGACCCGGTGGCATCTGTGTGGGGGTGTTTGCAAAACGGGTACCCTCTGATGTCGATATTCAACGCTACCCAGCCCGCTGAACCGTTGACTTTGGATGAAAGCAAAGTGCAGGAACACAGAAGGCCGAAGGCGGCGGCTTTCAAATTTCTACAAGCTTGCTTGCAGGATTTGGAGTTCCCGCAGCAAGAATGTTTCCTCATCACCGATCTTTACGGCGAGAGCACTACTGGCTTTGTCAAGGTAAACGATATACATTCCGTACCTATTTTTGGCCAACTGCCAAGACTGTCTGCTGACTGGTTCAAAGGTCATCAAAATGGTGAATCGGGTTTTGGACATTCTGGAAATGCAAGGCCAGCTTTACAAGCCTTCGAACACGAACTCTGGCCCTGTTGAGCGAGAACGGACCAAGCTTACCCACCGAGAACATATCCTCAAGGAAATGCTTGAAACGGAAAGGGACTATGTCCACCATTTGCAAAATTTACAAGCGCTGAAAAAGGAGTTGGAAGAAACTGGTGCCCTCAACGGTGATTCCAGTCACCAAATTTTTCTTAACCTAAACAACCTGCTTGATTTTGCGCAAAGGTTCCTAATTCGAATGGAGCAACACAATGCACTCCCTGAAGAATCGCAGAACTGGGGCGAACTGTTCATCAACTATCAAGAGGGTTTCCGACAATATGAGCCTTTCATAGCCAACCAACTTCGCTGTGATGCGGTCTGCTTACGCGAATGGGACAAAATTCACGCAGCCCCACGCTCCCCCGACCTTCAGCAAATGGTGGGCCAGTTGTCAACTTTAAACGGCTTCTTTGTAAAGCCGTTCCAGCGCCTGACTAAATATCCTTTGATGCTTCAGGTGAGGCTTTTCGGCTCACCCTAGATCGTACGGGCTGACCATCTATAGGAATTGAAAAAGCAAACGGACCAGCCGGAGCTAAGCGCAAATATTGCTACTGCTATCGACATCATCCAACTAGTCCTAGACCGTGCGAATAGCGCCATCGGCAAAGAACACTTAGTTGCCGCAGTTCTAGATTTAACTACCCGCGTCGATGATTGGAAATCTCTTCGAGTCGAAGCTTTCGGCGAGTTACTTCGGTTCGGAACTTTTACCGTATTGAAAGGCGATACCGGAAAGGATACAGAAAGAGAGGTTCGTATAGTTTTCAATACCTTCGCTTCAAAAGTCTCTGGCCATGGAGAAAGCGCGGCCAATTGTCCCACCACTGGAGTTACGACCAAGGATCTCTTCGGACCCATATTTGCCATATCGGATAACTGTGCCTGTAAGAAGCCCGGCGCCCAAGTTATTTACCCACGGTCCGGGGACAGCTTAGGTTCTTGCCTCAGGGACTACATCCCAGGTGAGAACCAGGACAGAAAGGCCCTATACCCTAAAAAAGGTCAAATTTCCCGCATTACAGTCCGGTCAACAGCTCCTACAAAGGTTTGCTGGCGTACCTAATGCCACTTGTTTTGATTCCCGACAAACCAGGCCCGTTCCCTCTGTTTCGTCGCGCCCGAAAAGGAGTAGTGAACTTTGCACTATTCGCCATGTGTTTCATATCCCACCTCAAATGCGACCCATGGGGATCTCAGATCCTGTTCACATTTCCCTTTTTTTTTCTCTACATCAAACCGATGCTTTCAAGGAAATCTTTTATGAGTCCGTGGCCTCGATCGCGCCAGGAACTTCTGGTTTGACGCCTCAGTTTCCAGTCAGGTGAATAACCCAAACGAGCCTAATTTCTGATCGCATTACCAAAAGTGATACTCGTTAGTACAAAGATCTTCGACAAAGAAGATCGGCCTGCTTTCTTTCTGTTTCTCTTCATCTCCTTGTGATATTGGAGAACTGAAGTTGCATGTATTCTGCATTGCTTGTTTTCATTGGAATCGTTCTTCTGACTCGTACCGGACCGGCGGTCTTGCCATAAAAAACAGTCAGGAGCCAGATGAATTTTCGTTCCCGAAGAGTTTGACTAACAACTGTACTCCGTAGCAGTATCATGTTTATCTTTTCGAACGAATCCTTTTATGCTGTAAAGACATAAATCCGAATAAACAGAAATCTAAACTTATGGGCAAAGATAAACCGAACGCCAACTCTCAAAAAGGCAAACCCCGCCTTCAATTAAAAGGCCGAATCTACATGGCTAATGTAACGGAGATATTATCCCTTCAGCGACCAGGTACGTAACGCAAAAGCCAATCGATAGGTATTGTCTAACCACATCGTTTATCCCTAGGCTCTTACAAGATCCAAATATTTTGGAAAGGTGACCCGGGTGTGGTAGATAATTTCTCAATACGTTACCGGGACGAAGAGACCATGCGAAAGTGGTATAAAGACATCGATAACCAACGGGCCCTTCAAGTCGAAGAAAGGAACGCCCTACGCACCGGAACATCTGAAACTGAATTTACCTATCTTAAAAACGCGCCCAAAATGCAGAATCCATATGCGGAGGAATATAATGCGGACGAAGACTTGGCTCCAGGCGTCTCCGAACTCTCCATGTCTCGAAACGCATCTAGCACAAGTCTTCGAGCTCGATCAGGGACAGGCGGGAGCGGAGGGTCTGGTCCTCCAGCTACCCGCCCACCCCGATTTCCAATGCCCGAACCACCTCTTGCTCTTCATACACAATTTTCCCCCGGAGCGCTATCGCCTGGAGAACGACTTGGCGGTTCATATTTCTCACCCGTTGGAGAAATGCCATCGTCAACGAGGTCAAGTTCATCGGCCACGTTTTCATACTCCCGGCAGGGCACCCCCTCCAATCAGTGGAACGAGGATAATAACCGGTATACCGCTCCCGCAATGCCGAGAGCAGGGTCACGAGATGGTCCCACGTCGTCCCCTTACTACAGTAATCCTCCTCGAGTGGCTCAGCGTCCGTCTCTTCCACCACTCTCTCAAAATTCACAAAACCCTGCTCAGTCCAGAATGCGTTCCGCTAGTAGCCCCGACATTCACAACCATAATCTTGCCGATTCCACTCGCCGCTATATGAACGGCCATACAATGCAAACCGTGGACAATGTGCCGGTCCCGCCAATTCCTGCAAATATTGCACTGATGAGAGCTCCCATTAACCGAAGCCAGAGCAGTTCTCCGGGTAGTATGCCGCCACCACAATCATTACGTCCAGGGTTTTCGGAGCCTCAATACATGCAAAGCCGTGAAGCCCCTCGTGCTCAACCTTCGTTGTCGTCGAATCCTTCCTTCTCCTCAACAACTTCGTTGAACCCAGAGAATGAGAACATCATGCCAGCCCAATTGAAAGCCAAAGTTAACTTCGACGATAACTACGTTACGCTAGTTATCGCAAGTAATATCCATTATCGCTCCCTGACCGACCGGGTTGACGCCAAACTGGCGCGGTTCACGACCCGTTCCATTGGGGGCAAGTCTGCAAGATTGCGCTATCAGGATGAAGACGGCGATTTTGTTACCATCGACAGCGATGAAGCTGTTCAACTAGCGATTATGGAATGGCGCGAGCAACACCAGAATATGCTCGCGAACGGGCAGGTTGGAGAAATCCAGTTGTTCTGCCAGCCGATTGAAAATTGAAAATTGAAAATAGACATGATTTCTTGCAGCTGTTTTCCGCCGTTCTTTCACTCTAGCATTTATGGCGTCTACGGAGCGAACCATCCATATTCGAAGACCGTCCAACGAGTTGCTCCAAATCTCGAATTAATTGCCATCGCGGCGATCTGATGATCTTTGGATGAATGGTCGTCCACCCGAATTTTTTGAAAGACTAGTTAATTGTTTCTATGCATTCAAGGGACAAAAGTCCGTCGACATATTTGAGTATAACAATGCGATTTTTACTCGCTCACGAACGCTTGCCCCATTTTTGCCGCATCTGCCTTGCAAAATCTACGGCGAAAATTTTCCCTGCTACTAATCTCCAGCTAAATCCATCCTAGTATTTTGGCTTGATGAGGTTGGCGTTTATGAATTCCCATCCCCGGTTTTAATTGATTTAAGACACGACCCGTATGACTCTTATGTACTCCTCGATTTTCCCGCCTTTTGTTTCTTCAAATCCCACTGTTGATTTCCAGCTCTGTGGTATTGCTCCATTGGCCGCTTCTTCTCTTGCAATGATTGAATGGAGATAGATGTTCGTGTGGTCTATTTTGTGTTTGACCTTGATATAATGAAGAATTGCATTGTCTGAATATTCCCTATTTCCAGACTTTTTTGTGCATCTCTATTCAATGACTGTACGATCGATAGCCAGTATGACGGTCCTCGAAGAATCCAGCGATATAATAACTTTTCTGCTGTTCTAGGATGGGCCCGGCAATTTAGTCGTAGCCCTAGAATTTGCAGGTAATAATATCATGGAGGATATAACTGTTTGGGATATCATACATGCTAGGTTGAACTACAGGAGTGTGAACCATGGAAGTTGACGGGCACACATGCCAACTACGTCATTTTCCGGTACAGCATTCACGATATTGTAGGCAGCTTCAGTGAGATGGAAGAGAAGCTACTTTTCAGCATTTTGTTTCTCCAATTAATCGTTCTACAGTATCTAAATAACTGTCGATAATCCGGTGCAGCAGACAAAACAGCCAATAAACCCCAGACTCCAAAGCTCACTCACTCATCTATGGGCAAGCTATCCGAAAATGGTAAGTTTGCGACTGTCAGTGAATATGCTTCTAGTTTCTAAGAGACACCGCTGAATGCAAGCCCCGTGCTTGCTGTGATGCGCCCTGAATTGAAAAAGGAGACTAACACGGATCTCCCATTCCCAATCTCCAGAGCTCTCCTCCCAGAGCCACCGCGAATTCCGCGAGTCCCATGCAGGCCACCGCCCGCACGCCGGGCTCGACCCGTCCCGCACGTCCACTGGCGTGATCTGGGTCATGGATCGCGCGCGCGATCACGGCTTGGAAGATGATCCGTCGTCCTGGGCGAATCTGGGCCAGGGCGCTCCCGACGCAGACGACGACATCGACGGCAGCTTCACTCGACCGAGTTCGGTCTCCATCAGCTCGTCGGGGAGAGAATACGGGCCGACGGCGGGTATAAAGCCGCTGCGCGAGGCGGTGGCGAAGCTGTACAATTCGCTGCATAGGCAGGGCAAGCAGGAGTATACGTGGGAGAATGTGTGTATTGTGCCTGGTGGGAGGGCAGGTTTGATTCGGATCGCGGCTGTGTTGGGGACTGCGTATCTGGCGTTTCCTATTCCGGATTATTCGGCGTATTCTGAGATGGTGTCGCTGTTCAAGAATGTACGTCCTGTGCGCAACTGGGTGAGGTTAAGAGGTTTTGCTAACATTTATCTTTTTTCGAATCTCTAGTTTACCTCTTTTCCTATACCTTTAGCTGAGTCGGATGGGTATCAGATCCATGCAGATAAAATTGCAGAGGAGATTTCCCGAGGCACCTCTGCTATATTGACCTCGAACCCTCGAAATCCCACCGGACATGTCATCCCTCAATCTGAAATGGCGAAAATCCAGGATATCTGTCGCGGGAGAGCTACCCTGATTCTGGACGAATTCTATTCCGGGTACAACTATACAACTGACTGCGACGGAAATACCTCTAGCGCCGCTCAAAATGTTGTCAATGTTAATGAAGACGGTAAGCTTCTCTTATCTACCTTTTTACTCCTTTTCAACATTTTCTAAATATGCACCCAGATGTCCTCCTCCTTGATGGGTTAACAAAGTGCTTCCGTCTCCCTGGCTGGCGAATTGCCTGGGTTGTCGGACCAAAGGCATTTATCTCCGCATTGTCTGCATCCGGGTCCTACCTTGATGGTGGCGCAAATGTTCCATTCCAAGAAGCAGCCGTTTCCATGTTGGAGCCGACGCTTGTCCGAGCAGAAATGAAAGCCCTCCAAACCCATTTTCGCAAGAAACGAGACTACGTCCTCGACAGACTCAGGAATATTGGGTTTCAAATTAGGGTAGTCCCGGAAGCAACATTTTATATATGGCTCGACTTGACCAGTCTTGCTCCACCTCTTCCCGAGTCGGCGAAAATCTCAGACGGCCTAAATTTTTTCAATGCATTGCTGAAAGAGAAGGTGATCGTTGTGCCAGGGATATTTTTCGACCTGAATCCTGCGAAGAGGAGAGATTTGTTTGACAGTCCGTGCCATCATTTTGTGCGGGTGAGCTATGGGCCAAAGATGAGTGTGTTGGAAAAGGGGTTGGATGGCATCGAGAGAGTAATCAAGCGGGCGAGAGCAGGAGATCTTGCTTCGTGATGTGACATCAATGCTAGTTATTTTTGGCCGCTGACCCTTCTGATATTATCTTTTCAGAGGGTTTGAGGGTTGAAGCGTCGGCGTTCGGGTTGCGTTTTCGTATCCAAACTAAAGAAGTTGAACGAAATCTAATTATAAAAACTCGTAACTTCAGCGTTCTTGTTTCCTAAGATTGCACATCCCAGTTCACCCCCACTCTCTTGCAAGTAGTTCTTGCTGTTCAATATCGCGAGGCTGTTCTAGAGCTTCTGCACGACTCTTAATGATCAAGAAACAAGTCGGTCAGGGATGATATGTGGAAGCTATCCGCAGATACGAGTTGTCGGAATGTAACACTCCCTGACACGGCGCCCTTTTCACGTCCAACCCACCTCAATCCCTCCAGTCATCGCTATGCGGCTCTGAACAAATGCGATTTTCATCCCCACAGCAAGGAAATCATCAGGGATCAACCAAAGGTTGAGCCGCTTCAATCCTGCCCAAAGTTGGAGGTCGTGTGATCATTGCTTGAAGATATACGACCTGCCCAGACAATCATGATGAAATACGCCGAAAGCTGCAGGCATCGAGATGGGTTCGATGAAGATATAAAAGGCCTGAAAATTCCCGTTCCCTCTGGAAGTTTATATCGGTTCATCATCAAGATACGTTTAGAAGCAAGCACAGGCAGCCTTTAGCACAATTCCCAATTTCATCATGAAGCTCCTCACCCTCGCAACGCTCTTGGCCTCTGCCACCGCTACCATCGTCTACCCCTACGAAAGCTCTTCTTGCCGCGGCTCAAGCGTGGGCAGGATCAGTGCATGTGGATGCACGAACATGGGCGCCAACTATGACATCCGCGCCGTGAAACTCAACTTCCAACAGGCAACGGCCTCGTTCTACAAAGAGAAGAACTGTGTTGGCGTGAGGTTCTCCAAGGCCTCCGATCAATCGTGCGCGAAGCCACCTGTGGGATGGGGCACAATTGGGTCTGTGAGGATCCATGGCGGAACCTGCTAGATGGGAAGTAGACGAAGATTGGGGATAATTAAACCGGTGGGTTGCAACTTGTGGTAGCGCGGTTTGCAAGGAATTCTCGCTGATATCACGCCTAGGAGATACGACACAACGGTTTTTGAGCTGTGGGTGGACCAAAATCGGGAGATGGAGATGATTGCTGTGTGAAATGACCTAGCTACCAAATAAATGAATACTTGCTCATTGCTGATGATTGATTGTAAATTTGAATCCATGAGTTTAGTGTGTGGTCTCATCGTACACTCTGAGAGAAGGGGTACTGTTTGTCTTGTTTGTCCTCATATTACATAACATGCCAAGACATCCTCCCAATCTGGCTTAGGGCCATCGCTCATCAACAGTTGAAACCGCAACCTCAAACTTCAACAAAGAGTCAACCGCCGTCAACCACACAATCGATTCACCGAGGGCACAGTGGTACCGCGACTGCATAATCTATTTCTGCTCTCTGATGATGAAACAGTTCTGTGCAAAATCGCTTCTTGAGCCCCAAAATCTCTCATCTCGGTGGAGACTGCATGCTCCAAGCTTAGCAAAGCTATCCAACAAGCCTTTGTGCGCCGCTGGGATCGTGCTCTTTTATGTGTCTAGGCGCTTCTTGAACCAACCTAAAGAAGAGTTTTTCTTTTTTATTTCTTTCTGGCTGGCTGTGGATATTACTCTGTTTCAACCTGACACAAAACAAGCACAAAGTGTTGTTCTGCTCATGCCTTTCCACTGCTGTCTCAGCCTACGCACAGTGTTTGCCCAGAGGAGCAGAATCACCTTGACTTGAAACTCCAATTGTTGATCTAGATACCTATTGATATGGAAGCGCGTGGACCAGGACAAGCACTACTGGATTCAGTCCATTCGACTGCATCCTGGCACGCTGCGAGATTTGCAAGATTGTGAAGCAATCGATTTGATAGCTTTGTCGACTATCACTGGAGTGCTTGGGCCCGTGATTTTAGAACTCCAATGTTTATCCACAAAGGGTCCAACTCTAGTAGAAGCCAACATTTCAATGTTTCTTGTAACAATTGCGTTCTCGCCCGTTGTCATCCCCGGCTTTGCCGACATTTGTCAAACATGAGAGATAATGAATCACTATATGGCATACTGCTAGATGAAAATCCCTCAGCACACAGTTTGCTGAACCTACTATTCCGACCGGAGCACAGTCCCTGGTATGGTACGCAAAGCTAGGGAACCATTGAAGCAAGCAGAAAGTATCACAGGGGTGCATTGTGAGTGGTTTTGCCTGGCTCCTACTCATTGCATGGGCCAAGCATGTTGAGATGTATATATCCCATGGTATTTGTCTGAGTTTTCAAGCCCTCCTCGTTTGATACAAACGACTGTTCTTGACCCAGGGAGCTAGGTGCACTCCTTTCACTCTTGCAAGTTTGTTGTTTGTTTGATCAACTTTTCTTGCAGTGCTGGATCTGAATCTGCTATGAAACCATGCAGCCTCCTCTATGGCTAAATCAACGAATATGGCTGAATTTGATATTTGCCATCCTTTCGCTTGGAATCGTCGCCAGCCCGTTAGGTAAATGGTACCCTAGGTTCTATTTGAAAGCCCAAGTTGCTAATCTCCTCTTTAGGCAACACTACCTCAGTTCTCCCACACGATAAGCCTAATGTGCCGGCTCTACCACTACCTCCGGTTCCAGCACCCATTGGGAAGAACCAGAGCAATGTAGTCCCTACGGTTGTCCAGCCTTCGGTCCCTCCTCACAAATCAAAAGCTTCAGCGTTTCCGTTGCCGTCAGTGGTTCCCTATCCTCCTTCTGTGCCACCGCCTGTGGCCCCTGCACCACTTCCGAAAAATGCAACTTTGCCGAAACCAGCACCTCCGCCGGTCGTCCCTGCACCATTCCCACTCCCGTCGGTCGTTGAGAACGCCCCTTCGGTTAAACCACAGTTTCCGCCCGGGATATCCGTACCAGGGAGCAGGAAAATCTCACAGACACCCCCATCCCATCTCTCAACAAAGGTACCGATACCATCTGTTATTGAGAACACAGGGTCAGCGAAAAAGCCAATCCCTACAGTTGCACCTGTTCCAGGAGGTGGGAGCAGCATGCCAAGTTCTCCAACAAATAGCCCAAATCGTCCAACTCAGGGACCTCCATCATCCGCTATTCAAGGCATCTCTTCGAAAGGACGGGACCCCAGTGTGACCCTTGTTCCAGGGCGTGAGACAACTGTATCAAAGTCGCCATTGAACCACCCAACAAAGGTACCAATACCATCTGTTATTGAGAACACAGGGTCAGCTAGAAAGCCGCTCCCAACGGTTGCACCTGTACCAGGAGGGAGCAGCATGCCAAAGTCTCCCACAAATCGTCCAGCGGAGGGGCTCCCATCATCCACAGCTGAAGGCTCCTCCTCAAAGGCTCGGGTTCCCAGTGTGGCCCCTGTTCCAGGGCGTGAGACGACCATATCAAAATCGCCATCGAACCAGCCAACAAAGGGACCAATACCATCTGTTATTGAGAACACAGTCTCAACCAGAAAGCCAGCCCCGAGTGTTGCACCTGTACCAGGAGGGAGCAGCATGCCAAAGTCTCCTACACACCGTCCAGCAGAGGGATCTCCATCATCCGTTATTGACGGCCCCTCTTCAAAGGCACGGGCTTCCAGCGTGGTCCCCGCTCCGGGGCATGAGACTACCACCCCAAAACCAGCCCCGACAGCGAAATCATCTACCGTTAGAGGAATCCCTTCAGCTACTACACAGACTCCGACCGTGGTCCCCGTTCCCAAGGGCAGCAATTCAAAATCCTCCACAGATCATAACCCGCCGACAAAAGTGATGCAGTCATCGGTTGTTAGTAGTGTTACTTCTATTGTCAACGGTACTCCAAGTGTTATACCGGTGATCATCCCAGTACCCTTGCCGTCGATGTCAACGCCTAAACCATCGGGAACTCCTTCTCCATCGAAAAAAGGACACGATGATAAGAAGGAGGATGAGAAGAAGAAGGAGGATGAGAAGAAGAAGGAGGATGAGAAGAAGAAGGAGGATGAGAAGAAGAAGGAGGACGAGAAGAAGGAGGAGGATGAGAAGAAGAAGGAGGATGAGAAGAAGAAGGATGGCGGCGGTATCAAACCGCCTAAAATTGAACCGCCAGACATCGATCCTCCTACTATATTTCCTCCACCAAAAATCGATCCTCCGAAGATTAATCCTCCCAAGCCTCCCAAGATCAGTCCTCCGAAAATCAATCCTCCCAAACCTCCCAAGATCAGTCCTCCCAAGCCTCCGAAGGTTAATCCTCCGAATATCTTTCCCCCAATAATCCCGCCTCCTGGAGACAAAAAGAGCGAGGATAAAAAGCCTACTCGTTCCAAAACCCCGTCCGTGACAACCAGGATGTCGTCTACGAGGTCGACAATTACTACTTCACACGCAACCACCACCGTTACCACTACTGAACAGACTACGACGTCAGAAACCTCGTCAGAAAGTTCCGCAATGGTTTGCGCAACTCCCGCACCTAGTAAGCCTCAAGGCGCCAGCTGCAAGCGTCGAATCCAAGCACCAAAATGTGTTCCACAATGTTCCGAATGCATGTCAACTAAGATTCCACCTCCTCCTGGCATCTCTCGGCGCGACCTTGAGAAATTTGGAAATTTCTCTGCCTTGCAAGACGACTACACCGAGTTTGGAGAGTTGGAGAGACGACGGCTGCCCACACCCGCTGATTACCAAAACAATCTGAACGTATTCTTTTTCCGGGAGTTGTCCTCAGCTATAAAAGTTGAAAAGGGCTTTTGGATACTCCGTGGTGCCGCCCAAGCACGAAGCCAACCCTCCGGTGTGCAAAAAGAATTGGGCCGAGAGAAATTCAATGCAGGCATAGTTAACCTTCGAGGTTGCACCTCCGTTCTGGTGGCTTCATCGAGGGGTATTTGGTGGGCCCATTTTTGGGAAACCCCGGGTTTTAGGATGCAAACAATCATGTCCGGTTACCAATTCAGGGAAGAAATCTTCAAGGTGGAAGTCCTTGATGTCTTCGACAAAGGCTGCGACTATCATCATTCGGACGGCAGACATAGATTCTCGGGACTCAAATGCCATGTTGGTGGAACGCAACAAGAACCGAAGTGGTTTGACCGGGCCTCGACTCCGGTTGCCTTTATCATGACCCCACAGGATCACGAGGACCCGAACAAGCTGCTTTATGAACCGGAAGTCAAGCGTATAAGTGATAAACTTCGAGAGGTACTGGGCGATATTCCAATTACTACGATCAAGCACAAAGCCCCCGTACTCGGAGACGCGCCCTCGTTCCAGCTTCCCCCTGGGGCATATTTACCATATGGAAAGGCTCTTTTTCAATACGACCCGCAACACGAGCTAAGAACTTGCGAATACTGGGCGGCCAGTAGATTGTATGCCGAGGAAAATCCTCTTCCCGTGCATCGTGTCTCGTGGCCGGCACTTGACTCGCAAATAGGAAACCAACCTCAAAATCAAAAGAGGGCTCTTCCGAAACTACCTGCATCCTGCTCGATTTCGCTGCGGCCTAAACCGACAACATTATCAAAATCCGAGAGCGGCAAATCGACAAAGACTAGGTCCATGAGTGGAAAGGCAACTGGCAAGACAGAGACGCGGCCCGCGACAACGACGAAGAAAACGGAAGAACCATCAAAATCCAAGGACGAAAAATCGAAGAAGGTGGCTTCAACAGAGTCAACGGCTAATAGCGTGAAACCAACGGGCAAAACAAGCACGCCAGCCGTGACAAGGACAAAGTCTGCCAAACCAACCGGATTAACATCAACGAAGAAGGGATTGTCGGTAACCACCAAGGAAAGCAGCAAACCCACGGTGACAACGAGCAAGCCTCCAACTACTTCCCACGCCAACATAGTCACACTTACAACCGTTGTCTGGGTAAGACCAACCGTAAGTAAGCCCCAAACCACCTTCAAACCGCCGGCTCCATTTGAGCCAGGGCGGAGCCCAGAAGCCAGGTGTAAGGTTATCTTTCCGAAAAATGTGTACCTGCTCGAAGGTATTAGAAACTGGGGTACCAAAGACGGCAAAAAGCTTCACGACGCACTTGTGAAGGCGTGCGGGCTGGAGTCTTACGGGTGGAAACGGACGAAAGACACCTATGCAGTGAAGTTGCGCGTTGATCCTGATAAGGCTCCAGCATGCGTGAACGAGGCAATTGCTGAAGCGGGCGGCCCGAAGTCCCTCTGCCCCAAATAGTGAATCTTCTGATGTATGACTGAGAGTAAGGGAAGACAAGATTGCGGCTTGAAATTTGTGTATTTATTCGGATGTCGGTGTCTTTAAGAACACCGGATGATAATCTATCCGTATTATCACTAATAAAACTAAAATCGAATTGCGATGTTTGATGTTTGAGCAGTTGGCGGTTGATGCAAAACCATACACACATGCATTTGAGGTCCACCAGCCTCTCGGCTTGCCACTCCGGTGCGTTGTAACATTTGATAGTCGGACACTACGGAGTATTAAGGCTCGCAATCTGTGTTTGTTGTGTCGATTTTATCCTGCTGCGCCATGATGTCACTGCACGTGGCCAAATCGTCGGCTTTGTGAGCTTACTAAACCATTCGCGCCAAGCCCTTTAGTTCCTGCGAACTGCTGCTCACCGCCGCCGGGGATTGATTTCCGCGTGCGGAACCATGGCGTCGGCTCGGGTTCAGAAATCCTTATTTGAGGGTCCTCCTGCTGCCCTGCAAGGGTGAGCTGAAGTCGTGGTCTTGAAAGCTGAGCTGACAAGCAAGACCTTCACCCGCTTTACTTCTCGCGATTCCTGAAAGACCGAAGACCACTATAGCCGCCTTGCGCATATCGAGCCAACAGGCGCAATGTCCACAACACTCCCAGCATCCCATCGCCCAACCCTTTCGCGCGACCAATTGCTCAAGTATATTGCAAACGTTTATCAATGCGCGCACTCCGAAGCGGAGTCGCAGCTCCGGGAGCTTCAGGAGCTAATCCGACTCGATCCTCTCCGCGGTCTGACGCAGCTGCAGCAGCGCCACCTGGCCTCGATGGCTTTTAGCAATCTGGTCCTCCATTACTCGCAGCACCATTCGATCTCGCTGGACCCGGACGTGTTGTTCCATAAACTGGTCGAGAGAGGCTTGGGAGGCTATTGCGTTGAGAATACGGGGTTTTTCTCAAGCGTGTTAAGGACGCTGGGGTTCAAGTTCTATACCAGCGCGGGGAGGGTGAGTAAAGGGTTTGAACAAAACGTTGATACGGGAGAGTATAACGGATGGTGAGGTTCCGTTTTGCTGTGGTAGAAGAGCCTCATTAACACGTCTCAGGGGACATATGATTATTATCGTGACAATCGGACAAGATAAATACGTCGTGGATGTTGGCTTTGGCCCGAATGGCCAGACCCGACCGCTGTTGTTGAAACACGGCGCGATAAGCCCACGAATCGCTCCGGCAGAAGCAAGGTTGGTGAAGGAAAGCATAGCCGCCAACACCGATAGTGAGCAAAAGCCCTGGATATTTCAAATACGGACCCATCCGCAAGAAAAATGGAAACCAGCATATTGCTTTTATGAAATAGAATTCTTGCCCGGTGATTACGAAGCGATGAATTTCGTGACAAGTCAAAACCCAAGGAGTATCTTTACGAAAGCGTTGATTTGCGCGAAATTCCTTTTGAACCAGGCAAAAGATGATATTGTGGGAAGTGTGTCCATAGTAAGAGCGACGGTGAAACGGAATCTGAACGGCAATGTGGAAATTCTTCAATCTTTGCGGAATGAAGGCGAAAGAGTTGATGCATTGAAAAATCTCTTTAATATACATCTCCAACCGCTAGAGATCCGTGGTATTCGCGGCAAGACCACGGAGTTGGAAGACACCACCGCGGTCGCCTTCTAATATCGAACGGAAAATTCATTTAAAGCGGTAGAGAAGCGGATTTCCCGCTTGAAGCATTGGTTATCATAAACAGCGTTGATTGAACTTCAGGTTTAGCATATCCGGCTTTCCACCTATTTGGTACAAAATACAATTAGTTTGAGCGCTTGTGACGTCTGAGATAAGCTCAAGTACCTTCCAAGGATTATTCAACGAGAAACCCGGCGGCGCTACGGGCGAATCTGTCTGGCCTCGTAAGGATCCCGTAAGCCGTAAATCCCGTTCCATCACTACCGATTGTCAGCATAACCCGCATCGGGGAGATCCTTGGCTCAGTATAGACGCAGGAGATAGGGGGAATACTTTGCTGCGTAAAGATTAGCCTAAGTTGTCTAACAGAAAACGTCACGGAGTTCAACTTACTCTATCCCAGGCATCAATGCCGCGTCTCGGTCGCTTTCCATCATTTGCAAACCGTTTGGAGAACGACAGCCCGATTCCAGTCACGCCGAAGAACTAGTCGCCGGTGAGGTTCTATTTCAAGCTGATTGCGGGGTTCCGGTACCTACGCCAATAATAATCCCATAGGGAAGCAAAGCCTCAAAAGGCAGCGGCATTTTCGAATAGCAGTTTGAATCAACAGTCTTGTGAGTTGCCAATTGATGTTGCAGTCCATTCAAGTTGGAGGTGATTGGCCTGATGACCGCTAGTCCAAACGAGGCCTAGTCAATATGCATTCTTGGCATTGATCAGTCAGCAAAATTCAGATATGGCGGTTGACCTCACTCAAGAGAAGGGGGGTGCTTGTAAGGGCTCTTTTAGCGTGGAGTGAACGCATTTCGGGGCGTATTGGTTCAATTTACGCGTGAAGACACATGCGGCTGTGAGTGTGATGATCCTCCTTTTCCTTGTTGCTTTTGGCGCGGTCCCGCTGCGATGGACGCGAACTTTCCCCAGCTCAAAGAACAAGTCGGCTAATCCATGTTCATTTCGCAGCGTGCTTCTCGGAGTCTAGAAGTCGTTCTAGCTTCTCGGAGTCTACTACTAATCGACGGACAAATATACTACGTCGATATCCCACCGGCATATATCGAACGGCCTGCGCTTCTTTGTCTGACCTTGGCCCGCCGCCGGGGCCACCCCGAGCTCAGTTACAACGAAGAACGGGGGCGGTTGTAAGCGCATTCTTTATACTCGTTACTATCGCGGGCCAGATGCTGCCGTTTTGTCAATTTGGAGACTGTGGTAGCTTGCATGATGGCGGCGACCATGCTAGCCGAGTATCAAAATACCGCCGTGGAGGACGAAAATATGGCGGATAGCGAGCAGGATGCCGAAGGAGAAGATGATGTTGATTTGTACCATCAGCTAACGGCATCTGCTAATTTTGGCGGAACCGAATTCGCTGGTGCAAACCACATGATTGACCGAGAAGTTGGTTCAGAGCAGGATTATACAGGAGAAGCAGCGGGCCAGAATGTCGAAATGACTGGTGCGTTGGATGTCAATGACATAAACGAAAGTAATCAAGAACACGAACCCATGCAAACGGTTAAATATCTTCCCGTGGAATACAAGTCCGAGAGCGATGTTGAGGAGGGCGACCCCAGCTTCACAAACGATGCAAGTGAAAGCGGCCGAGATGGCGTTAGTAATCAATCCTCCGATGACGATTCAGAAGCCGATGAGGACTGGGAAGCCGAGAGTGATGACAGGGATTCAGCGGACGTGGAAGACACGACGCAAAATAACTGCATGTAAGTACCCTGCATTTTTCATGCAATAATAATTAGCGTACTGATTGCAATTCCAGTATCTGCGGCCAAGACGAGGAGCATGATCCTGGCGAAGAGTTCGAAGAACCTTTGGTTTGCGCTGTCTGTGGAGATCATTGTAAGTTCTACAAGGTTGGCTTGGCAGGGGACACCATTAGAACTTAGCTAACCGGCCTCTAGGCCATCGTCAATGCGCGCGCGAACAGGAATGTTTCAGCGACACCGACAGTAAGTTGAGACAACTTGTTTTAGCCGCCTCACAAGCGAATATTAACCGCTTACTAGATTCCGCTAAATGGCGTTGTGCCTCGTGTGTTCAGAACAAGTTAGAAGAGGACTCTAAAGATCGTGCCAAATCTCGGAGGAAATCCATCGCATCTAACATCGCCAAAGAATTGCTCCCTGCCCATGCCGATAGTCTAGGCCCAGACTCGCACTCCATCTTCGAGAATCCGATCCTCGATGATGATCCGCTTGATGGTTCTCGCTCGTTGAGGAAAAGGAAGGCCTCGATCGACGAAGCAGATAATACCCGCGCTCTCAGCCGAAAACGACGAAGAACAACTAATGACCTAACCGATACGTCGCAAGCAGCAAATGAGGAAGCTAGCGACCAGGTTGTGGATCCATCGAATCCTTCAACCCGCTCATCCAGGCGTAGGCAAGCCAGGAGGACTCAGAATGCTCTCTGTAGTGTCGTTCTAAGACAACACGGGAGATTAGTTATTTCTTTCCACCTGGATCACGAAAAGTTAAACAATATATTAAAAGCCAGGCCGCGCCCCAGAAACCAGAGACGGAGACCGCCACCAAAACCACCAGCTGTCCCAGCAGAACCGCCTCCTCCACAATTTCCTCCTATTATTTCGACACCATACACGGCGCCCTTCTACTCGTTTCACGAACGCGAAGATCATGAACTCAACTCTAAGCCCTATGGTGGCATTTTAGCCGATGCAGACGCAGATACCTCCAAAACAGTACCACAACAGGCCGATCGGGACAAATTTGAAGCCGCGAGGCAAAAGGCCGAGGAAGAGTGGAGGCAAAAGGTACAAGTAGCCGAGCAAAATGGCGAAGGGACACCACGAGCCACGCAGAAATTGTCTGGCCCCCCGAGCAAGATGAAATGCATCAGCTTCGGTGGTTACGAAATCGAGACCTGGTATGCTGCTCCATATCCCGAAGAGTATAGTCGCAACAGAGTTCTTTACATATGCGAATTTTGTCTCAAGTACATGAATTCCGATTTTGTGGCTTGGAGGCACAAGCTTAAGTGCCCAGTGAAGCATCCACCCGGAGATGAGATATACCGCGAAGGCACCATCTCCGTTTTTGAAGTTGATGGCCGGAAAAATCCTGTTTATTGTCAAAACCTCTGTTTACTTGCAAAACTCTTCCTCGGGTCGAAAACTCTGTATTATGATGTCGAACCTTTCCTTTTCTACGTGATGACTGAATACGACGAGCTGGGTTTCCATTTTGTTGGTTATTTCAGCAAGGAAAAGCGGCCAAGTTCGTCGAACAACGTCTCATGTATTTTGACCCTTCCCAATTCACCAGAGGAAAGGGTATGGGAATCTCTTAATCGACTTTTCATACCTTCTTACTCGGATAGAGCGCAAGGTTGGCTCTCCGGAGAAGCCACTCTCAGACATGGGCTTAGTTTCATATCGGAATTACTGGCACCTGATTTTATCGTACCAACTTCGTGATCAAAAAGGCCCGACGAGCATTGCTGAGCTGTCTGAACGCACGGGAATGACGCCGGACGACGTTGTATCCGGCTTGGAAGGGCTACGTGCGCTAGTCCGTGACCCTATCACCAAGACGTATGCTCTTCGCCTAAATTACACCTACTTTGAAGAAGTTATTCAAAATTGGGAAAGGAAAGGCTATGTTCAACTAAATCCTGACGCACTCGTTTGGACACCATATGTCATGGGACGAAGCAACCAGTCACATTACGATCGTGCGCCACTCCATGCTGTTGCACCCCGAGATGACCATGAAGAGGCTATCGTCGATGGAGATACGATTCCCAATACGTACGAAAATCGGAACGGGCTGTTACATGTTGCAGAAAATCATGGTTTTGGTACCAACGGGCAAACTCACGCCGATTCTATTCCGGAGCTCGAACCTCCAGGCCCGCCATCCATGGAAGTCATGTCCTTTGGTGGCCAATCGATGAAACACAGTAACGGCTGCAGTACTCCATCGGTTTCTTCTCTCTCAAATGTAGCCGCCAACATTCCACCCACAAGATTCGAGATTTTTCCACCTGTGCAAGCAGCCGTCGGCAAACGCCGCCCAGGACGTCCATTTGGTAGCTATAAGAAAGTTCGTCCCGGTACAGCAGCAGCAACCGCATCTCCATCGCGGACCAGTGGACGCAATACGCCACGGAGGAACTATAACCTTGCCCTCGCAACGCCAACACCTGCTGTTCGCGCATCCCCTGGGCTTCGCAGAGGCCGTAGCAAGCTCCTTGACAATGTCGCTCATACTGATGGGCCCGCCGATGAACCGGTAGATGATGAAGCTGTGCTCAACACTGAAGAACTCGACGCAAGCGGTCCTGGGCCTCGTGGAGGTGATGGGCGGTTAGACATTGATGATCAAGTCGATGTGAATGGAAACGAGACCCAAAATAGTACTTGGGATCGAGACAGCCCTAATGAATCGAATGGCATATTCGTTGGCGGCCAGCTTCCGGAGCCAGGCCTCGCAACTAGAATCAAAGACAGGAAGGATACGGCTTCTGAACCCGACACAAGCAATGCGACTGAACAATTAACAGCCGAGATTCTCGCTGCTGCTGATAACGCTGTTGAAAAGGCCGCTCCTGGAATTTATCCGGCTCACGGCATTCCAAGTCCTCAACAGAATGGCATAAAAGGAGAGCCGGGTTTGACAACAACATCAGCGTCCACTGAAGGCTAGAATGATCAGATCAAACAGACTCGAATGCGGTTGATTAATTTTTATCTTCTGCTTGCCGATGCTGCCCTTTCAACGAACTTATTTGTCTTGCTATACCTTGCGGTCTACCGTGGTTCTCTTCTCCAACAGAGAACAAGGCGCATCTTGGAGTGTGAATTGATTTATCCTCTCACTGCATTTTTCCGATTGTCCCCTTCGTGTTGATTTGGTACTTATACGTTATATTCTATACTCTCATCCCCATTTGATCTTTTTTGCTCTTTTCAGTCTGAGCATTTTCCAGGAGTGTATTCGATGCCTTTTTGACTTGTTGCCCAGTACCTCTTATCTAACTTTTGATCAACTTTGTTCGAGTCGAGCCTTTGAAGTTGCTACCTTTTTCCTCTGGAATGTATCACTATATACCGAATCCGTGATTCTCCCAATATTATCCTCAATCCTAATTCAACTGCGTTTTTTGCTCCTTTGGGAGCCTGCACGCTCTGGTGAATTAAAACAAGTCTAGATGGAGATATTCCAAATAACCTATAGGAGATAAGACGATAACTGTAGGGTGAGAATGATCAGTCATCTCCACTGTTGGTAGCCCCGTGGTTGAATATTCCCATAATAGCTCGCAAAACTAGGATCGGACGGCTCTATGATAGCAACTGGCTAAATGGTTGCCCACGGACATAGTTATCCTACAGCATGCCGTTGATGTGTGTGGTAAGGCTTGACAGCGTTATTCTCCCATGCTACCAAGGTATGATAAAACTATACTACACTATGCCTCTCCAAATTTTGTATTGCCGGTATTGCAACCTAGCGGCACCCCGGTCCCCGCCAGTGAATGGAACCAATCTCTATCATTCAGGCCAAAATAGTAGCGCTTCCACCTCCGAAACCGACATGCCCGTCGCGTAATAGGCGGGAAACGGGTTCAAAATGGTCGAGTCGACATCTCTTCTTGGTGTATTAGGAAGCGTGAAGATATCTAAGCCCGGAATTTGCTCCACGACCATGCCAGACGGGAGCTTGTAGTTTCAAGACGAACAGGAGCACGCTAGGCGGTGTGCTATTCGTACCGGAATCTACGCCGCTGTCCGGGGGGTGTTTTTATATATATGTTCAACGTTTGTTGAGCGGATAAGAGAGCAACGGCCGTTCCAACGTTCGTTTCGAGGCAGATGCACCGTTTAGCCTCCCAGGCTGGCCGTTTGAAACATCGACATAACGCCCGCCATACATGCTGAAGCAGAAAGCAAGAAAGTAAACAGAAAAGAAAGGTAAGGATATCAATCGGCGCCGGGCCCTTATTCGTCTTTAAGGCCCACTCAGTTCACTCTGGGATATAATCTGCATATCCACTGCCACAGCATCAAGCGCCAACCTCAAAGCCTCCTCTTCAATATGGCGCACTTTTCCCCAATCCGGGTCCAACCAGATGAACCCGCCGTTGGCCAGCTCGTAGATGGCGGCCATGACCCAGGTGCGACTGTTGAACTCGCCTCTTGACTTGTCGACTCTCGCCGAGCGTACACAATCTTCGACGGCCTTGAGCCAGTCGCCGTTGATCTCTTCGATTTCGCCAATTTTGAGGCCGGCGAGGAGGCCTTGGGACGTCAAGATGTCCTCGTTTTCCATTAGGAACTCCCATTGGTTCCCAATGGGGACGTGGTGGAAGAGAACGCCGGAGCTCTGGCTGAGGGCGATGAATAGGCCCCAGTGATATTTGCCCTTGGCCCCGGTGTCCCACAGAAAGATGTAGATGCCCTTTTGCTCGGCTTTGGGCGCGGGACCAAGCCATGGTTTAGGCCCCGCATCTGGAGTGGGCTTGGAGTCGGGATTCGATGGCTGCTGAGACACAAGAGTGGCAGACTGGGACATGTTGCGGGTGGAAGGACGGTGTTTTGGTTATTCAGAGAGTCCCTCAGATGGGCAGACGGGGCCTGTTAGAGTTTCGACAGCAGGTTGACAGGTGTAGAGCGAGAGCAGGGTGGCTCTGTTGGCGACCATGCATGTATGTCGTCGACCAGCGAAGATGCTGTTTCTCGTCCTGTTGACGGTGTTGGTGCCGGCAATTGGCTCGAAGCTGTCGAGACGCAGACGAAGAGTGTCTCATCAAACGGAAAAAGTGGACGGCAAGGCAAAGCAGCCGGATTCTCCCTGGCAGTCCAGTCTGAGGGTTGGGATGGAGTGGTTCATGGAGGGCTGGAGGGGGAAGGCAGATGGTGTGGCACAAGTTGCTTGCTGATTGCTTCCAACGTCGTTCAATCCCGCCGCCAGCGCACAGTCTCAGCAAATCACAACACCGCCGCTGGGGATATTTGTTTTGGCACTTTGTTTCTTGAGGTTGCACTTGATCTGCATCTCGCAAGACGGGGCTACAGGCAGCCGCTGCTGTCTGACGCGAGAACGACCGCCTTGATCTCCGCATCAGACGAGGCGCGGCGATGTCGAGATACCATGGTCAAAACACTGGTTGATATCCTTTTATTCAATTCTAGGAGCTAGACTACTACGAGGATCTCTACTCTGGGAAGTTCATTGCACTCCCAAGTCCCGGATTGCCCTCTCGTTGAGGGGGCACGACGTCTCCCTGTATCGTGCCTCTCAACGCCAGTGCCACGCTTTTGAGTACGCATGGATTGTCGTAGTATGTCTAGATGCCGCTGAAGTCGTCCAACTGGCTGTCTCCCTTGCTGGTATGTGTTTGTGATTATCTACCACGGAGTTGGTTCCGAATTCGGATGTCAAAACGATTGACGCTTCGACGGCGAATCGGTAGATGCGTCTGCCGTGGAATCGTAAGTAGATGCTGAGGAAAATCTAGGATACCGTGGCTGTATCTTTATTGCACGTTCTGATTCTTTCGTTTTCGAGCAGGTGCTCACCTACTCTAGTGAAGGAGCAGAAATACCGTCGCGATGGATCCATGTGTGCGCTGCTGCATCCTCCGTTCTACGACTAATAACCTGCACGCGCGCTGCCAGTACTCGGTCAGTGTCTGAAAATTCAATTCTGATAGCTAAATTTATCGGCTGGTAGAATGTTTGCACGGTTGGCTGCCTTCAACTTTCAAGCCCGCGCTGCGGCTGCCTGTTTATGCAGTTAGCTAAACACAACCTATTACCATCCACCTGAGGCTTAGAAGAGGGCCGGGTGTGATTCGAATGCATGGACAAATTCTTGTGCCTGTGGAAGTTATGCGCATCAAGAAAGGGTTACAATATATGGTTTTAGGAGGTCATCCATTGCCGCTGATCAGAACTTCCTGCTGCAACTGTTGCAAATGGGCGTTTTTCATCCCACAGTATGTCTCATTTTGTTGTTCCTTCGAGCCCTGGGCCATTTATCTTTACGAGCACCATTGCTTGCTCCATGTTTGAGCATGTATCGTGTTGTCCTTCTTGGTTATTGGCATTATCAGCCAGAATTTCGCATCGTGAAAGCCACCTGGTGATATGCAGCTCATCCATTTTGGTCCGCAGAGACGAAGAATATCACGGCAAGAAATGGATCAAGTCTTCGTCTTCAGCGAATCTATACGAAGCATGAGGAAGGGGCCCCGTTTGCACGAGCCACACCATATCGCATAGGCGCAAGCGGTTTTAAATCACGACTTGAGCTCGTTCAATGGGTGAGTCCGTCAGAATCGATCTCTGACACCGCACGAACTCGAGGTCATGATTTTGCAATTGCGCGATTGATTCTGACTGGTCCGAAATTCTGCCTGGACTCTCGCGGTTGTTAGGTCGAACAATGATAACAGTTAATGAAGGGACTTATTCAGGGTTTGCCAGGCTTACCAGTAGCTAATCCATCATGTCTAGGGTCTAATAAATTCAGTAAATCACCGTGGAAAGGACATCATGTACCTGTAGTTGACCACAATGGCTATAATTAAACATTTCTTCAGGATAATACAACGAGATTGTTTAAAGGCTGCCTTGTGTCTGAGGCGATCTCTCACCACTGCTTCAATACAATTATTTTCTTATTCTTTTTTTTTTTTATTTTTTTCGCTTCTCCACGGCCGGAAACTCGCATTCGATGCGATGCTGCCCGCCCCGGTTAACTACTCAACCACTTCTTCTTTCTTGTATCACAGACAAAGTAGTAAAAAAAATAAACAATATAAATAAAAAGTCGAATACCCTAACGTCATCCCAATCTACAATGTCGAGACCTGGCTTTTTTTTTTTAGGAACGGGATCTCAAGCCAATCCGCAGATCAGCCGCTCTCAAACCCATGTTTTGCGAACAACGGTTCACTCCCAGAATCCAAGGTAAGCAGAAGCCAGGGGTCGATAACTATTTCCCTGGTAACCTTGCTGCAAATCCATCTGTCCTGGCCCCATATCTGTCCATGGTATGATCCCGCGCCTAAAAATGGATACCGAAAATAATGGGGTTCAAGGGACCTATTTACTTCTAGTTTTACAGGGTGCTTATTTTAGCCGCGCTAGGGACTTTTCTCCTCTTCTCTTCTTCTCTTGGGGTTGAAAAAATGTGGCGCCTTCTTCAACACAAAAATTTTCGAGAACTTCTTGTAATTCCTTTTGCGGGAGTCGGGCTTTGGTGGCCCTTGGCGCCTTTATTTGCGGATTGCGCGACGAAATCCTCCTACCAGCGCAGGACTGATCGTCAAGAGGTCAAAAGGGGATTGATTTGGTAGCTAGTCCGTGGCGTGCCCAGCCAGAAATTCCAAATTATCAGCAGGTGCTATTGAAACCGATGATGGGATGTTTGGCGCCTGATAAAGAGCAGTTCGTTCATATGGTGTCACACGCAACCGGCTCACTGGTAAACCAGGGTGCCAGCCAACGAGACTGAGTGAAGGCATCATTCAAAGATGGAATCGCTTCTTTCAGGCTCCGTCCTTCGTGCTGACATCGTTGGGAAGGCAGCCGTTCACACATCCCCAATTGCACCCCCGCATTTTCCTTTCTTTTTCTCCAGAGTCGACTTCCACATTCCGTTCTAGTCGACAATCATGGCTGTCTTGGCGAAATCAGTTCGTCTTAGGCGCAGCAGGTAGTTATCACGCTTATCGGGTGGTGCGCAGAATTGTGCTACTTGGGAGTAAAACCAGACAAATCTGTGGAGGGCTCGTACTCCATCAACGAGCCAGTGTAGGCGTTAACTAGTTCTCTCAATTAGTAGCTTCTTCGGAGAAGGCAATCAGTTTCTTTCATTCAAAAGCGATGGATCTGGTTGGTTTTGCCCACTTCGGTTTTCCCCTTCGCCGCCAATCAGATTATGCGGAATCAAGGTGATTATGCATTGCAAATTCTCTTTGTGCGAGGGTATGATTGATATATGGCGAGTCATGCGGACAAATTGAGCTATCTAAGTAGCCGATGGCTTCCTTCTCGTTAATTTGGGTTTAGAGAAGAAGCGGCCTCAAAATTCGAAGCAAGCAAGAATACTGGCGGGAGATGGAGGCCTAAGCGCACACCATCAGCCGTTAATGGGATCCTTTCTGCAAAGGTTTGTCAAACCTGGCTGGTCAGCCTCTGGAGTCTCAGACAGCTGTTTGTTGCAGCTTGGCAGTTCTAGGAACCAAACGGCCTGATCCAGAGAGATCAGGAGGGCCTATTTGCTGCATTGCCAGTTAGTTTTGTCCTTTTATCCTCAAGGAACAATCCTTTTAATATTTATTTTTTACAGCGTGCATAGCAGAATGCGGGTGTTATGAGCCCACAGCAGCGAAGGTTATGATTGATGTCATCTCCACCAACAGCCAGCAGAGTAAATGTCGCCACCAGGATGATTCCGGATCTGCGCTAAAGTTATGCATCTTCGTAATTGACTGAACTTTATGGTCTGTCAAACCAAGTCCTCGAATGTTCTGCAGATATTCGCGGCCTGTCAACCGGGAGCAGTTCCATGGAAGGCAGAGAGCGTGTCGACAAGAACCATGGGTGAAGTGGGAGGTTCGGTGCTGTGGTTGCATTTACAATCAGATGTCTTTTGTCGCTGGTTCCTTGTGAAAAAAGGCGTCTTTGTTTTTTTATTTATTTTTTCTTTTCTGCTCTGTCAAATTGGTGAGAATGGAAGCAGAGAGCGACCCAATGATCGGGCAATTCGTCCAATTCATCCGTGTTCGGGGTCAGTCATAATGTTAAACAGCAAATTTTGTTTCAGATGGAAAAGCAAAAAGGACGAATCGTATAGATAGTTATACCAAGTTTTGAGTGCGCAAAACCTGAGACTGCGCGCAACTGTCCGGAGTAAAGTCTGCACACCCACACTCGGAGAATAGTTAACTAGCGATGCTTTCTCAGTGGTATGGCGGCCTTGATACGCTCTTACGGGGAGTTTTGTGCTCGAAATTCAGGTCAATGTCGATCTCTCTCTTCCGGAATCGAGGCTGATGTTTTCTTTCCTGAAATGATATGGAAATGTCCTCCGTCACGACTCCGTAAGAGAATTGTTTGACGGGATCTGCATTCCATTGATCATGCAGGAGTCATGTATGCAGTTACGCTGTCCTCTGTAATTTAATATTCGGCGTTTGCTGCAAAAGCCCATGGCGGCTGCGATGAATGCTGCTTGCTAAACGGCGTAGGACGCAAAGAGATGTAGATGGCAATCTAAAAAGCTTTGAACAAGGACGCAACCAGCCATGTTCGAGCCCTTTTTTTTCCTTTGAAACTGTCTGTAGGTACCCGGTTTTCAAATCGCCGGGCTCCCAGCCTAGAAGGGTGGGTTGGACTGCCTGTCGGGAGGTTGGTCGAAAAATCCAAGTTGCACCGCAGGGGTTTTGGCGTGTGGCAGAGACGTCGCTCTAACCATCAAGGAGCATCAACCTCCCACCACTCGTTAAAGTTGGGCTCGCAATCGCGGGCTCGTGGCGGCGTCCTGGTTCCTTCACACCCCGGGCAGACGGAGTAGGGGCGCAGTGATACTCCGGGTGCTGGACAGACCGAGAGGCAAAAGGGCGATTGCTGCACCAAAAGCGGAGATGCGAAAAGGGTCAAACCAACTCCCAGTCTGCTCAAAGCAGAGGATGTTTGCTCGTATTACATTGTATGGGGGTGGGTGGTTTGAAACAGCCCTCGGAAATAGCTTTGCATTGCCTGTTCAAACGTCCTGTTTCCGATGGGCCTTGTCGCGTCAGGTCAAACGCGAGCCGCATGAAACATCACCGCAGAGAACGATTTGGAGGCGCATCTCCCTGGTCCGCATCGCTTCCTGACAAGAGAATCCGGCAGGGGGCCCAGCACCGAGTTTGAGGGAGGCCTGGTCCATTGCCAGTTGGAACCAGAACGCCGTCGATTGATGTCAATGTGGAGAAGAGAGTTGAGATCTGGCTAACACTCTTTTGGCCGCGGCACTAAAGAGAGACAGCCCGTCGACCCCTGTCGAAGAGGCGCTTAGGAATTGGACGATCTGGACGCGCCGCACAAAGCATATTCTGAACCCCGAGTGGAATGCAAGGGCTTTGTTGTTGCTGTTGATGAAAAGTCGACAATCCCGAACGATCCGCTGCGATCGAACAACAAGCCAGAGGCAATGCAGCGCCCTTTTCGATGCCAGCGCTGGAGCTGATCTCGTTCGTGTCACGGAGAATGCAAGAATACTGGGATACGCTATTTTACTCGACTCCGGGCCCGGCCCTGATCGTGCTCGTTTGGACGGAACGCGAGCGATATGTGCTCAGATGTATCCCTCCCGAGGCCAGTTCTCTCCTGCGTGTTGGCTTATTTCCCGCCAGGCCAAAAGGACTCCATGAGCCTGGCCGAAAAAGGAATCTCAGCGGCTTGAACTCCGGCCCAGCAGCTATTTCGCCCCAGCTGAGGCCGTGCCCTCTTTTTATTATTATTTTATTTTTCAGGACTAGAGAAAGTACTCCGTACTTCCTTTGATATCACTGGCTCTCAGCCAACATTTTCTGTTCATTTGTGATGTGATCCATCCAATAAGCTGTGATTTCCTGCATCCGGCCGATCTCTGCTTCGATCCCCTTCAGTCGCGAGCGCTATTAATATCGGGACCTGAGGGTGAGTATCTTGACCCGAATTGGCCAAGGTAATTGAATATGTAGGTGCTGTACATCCCCGAGCGTTCTTTGCATTGCTCTGAAGACCCCTTCATGTTCCTCGAAATCTGCATATTCCCTCCCAAGAAAGCCTCCTACCCCATGTTGCTCGCTGCCTTCGCCTTCTTTTCTGTCCGCGACCGTTTTTCGTTTTGGGATCCGCCTCTGGCTGGCCGTGGCTGTTGTCTGACTGCCGCTTCTCCTAACGCGACGGGGCAAAATAGCAGGCGTTTGATGCCCAAGGCCTCCATTCAATAGTTTTTGTTTTCTTCAAAAGCTTCGTTTACACAGCCGGTTTCGCGCCTGTTCATGGAGTTTTGTTGCGCTCGTGTTTCTCTCTCTGGCAGCTGAAACTTTAGGGGGAATCGGAAGGCCGGGTCTCGAGGGTCATTGGACCGCACGGACACGCCGTTTCTCGGAGCTGCGGTTGTTTCTGAATATTTGCTTTTTGATCTGGTCATTCGCCTGTTGCGAGCAGTTGAGCTTTTACTTGGATGGTGAGCAGCGTCTCTCCGCGTTGACGGGCCGGGCGTGTTGTAGTCCTAAAAAGCAAGACGTCACCTGGAATTAGCCTTCCACCTTAGCTTTCCCTCTCACGCGATACTCCGAGTGTACCAGAAACACCCCCTCGCTGCCCGGAGACGCCCTCGTCTCGCGCCTCCGATCTGTAGGACTAGGGTAGCCTGAGCCGAACGAACCCTCTCTCGCTGCCGTCGAGGAATGATAGACAGACGTCGGTTGGTCGGGCTACGAATACCAGCAGCAGACGGTGAGCAGCATCCCCCTTCCCGACCTCGCAGCAACCCAATTCGTGGGACACGAGCCCCGGAGCAGGGGACGGAGGGTTTACAGCATATCAAGGTTTCTTCCCCCTTCATTTTACACTCCTGGACCAGCTCGCGGATGCGCTTATGCAGCCAGATTGCGTGCATACCCGGCACTATCGATGCGCTCTAGGGCCAGAGATCTGACGTTAGTTACCAGGATAACCACCTCCATCCCTCCCGGAAGGCCCTCCCAAGCTGCCACTCGCGGTCGTTCTCTGGCACCCTAAACCTTTCTAGACCGCAAACCGTGTGCTTTTGAGTTTGGGCACTCGTCAACCGTCGAACTCAAATAGGGCCTGTTTCGTGGGTCGGGCACATCATTTGAGGAAAATTTCCGCAAGATCTGGTTCTAGGGCTGCCCGCTGGTGCGCGAAAAGCATCGCCGTTGACGCTCGATCCTGGATTTTGCCATCCTCTATCCTCTCCCCTTCGTCCCTGGTGCCCGTGGTTGAGATCAGGCGGAAGGAAGCACTGTGCACCAGCAGCTGCAACGCCGAGTTTACTCCACTTTGCCCCAATCTTTTGAAGGGAAGAAGCCCTTCCCGGAGAACTTTCCTGCGTACAGCGGTGCGAGCTTAAGCTTGATAACTGGATGACCGCCAGCTGCCAGTGGCATTATCTTTAAACGCAGGCCGCCGTTTTTTTCTTTCTCTGACGACACCGTGCTTCCTGGCTTCTAAGCTTCCAGGGCTTTCCGCTTCATTGAAGGGGACATCGCGCTCATGCTGGTGAGATAGATTCTCTACAACTGCCGTCCGTCCTTAGAACAAAAGGGACCGTTCGTCTTGCGTCTGATCTGATATCCAACGCGGTTCAACCTGACCTTCAACCAAATCTGAGAATCACCTCTGGTCGTACCTCGTCTGCCAATTCCCTGGGTGTTCTTCCGCTTTTATATCCAGGGAAGCGCCTCTCCGTTTTGACCTGGTACTTGGCTTTCCACTCAACTGTGGACTCATGAGTGCTCCAGGATATCCGGATTACCATCCGCCTCACATCGGTCTGCAGAGGTGAGTTTATCCCCTGTTATCTCGCTTTGTGCTTGAACCGGGCCTCCTTGCTGACACTGTCTCGTCGGATTCAGTTCTGATTATGACCTTACCATCCGTCAGAATCCAGACCGGGCCCGTGTTGCGGGAGGAAAGGAGAAAGGTCTGTGTTGCTTCTCCATTCACCGGCAGCGTGCAAAGCTCATGGGCGCTAGTAGATCGAAAGCCAGTAGACCCTCCACCCATTATCCAACTCCGAATGCGTGAGGAATCCGATCCAGCACAGTAAGAAACCCTTTGCCCTATGAAACTTGGATGGGCGTGAAGCTGAATCGTTTTTTCTAGCAATTATTTGCAGAGCCCGTACTACTTTATGTGCTGTGCGTTGCACCATCCAACAGAGGACCGAGCTGCTACGGTACCAGCATCCACTGCCCTCGCAGGGACTCTCGTCTCATCTTTACATCGATTGAAAGATGTGGATAATACTGGTTCGTTACAAAGACTTCGATGGTAACGTGGCTTTTGCAAGAGCTAACATGATGACAATCTAGACGGAGCTTTTTTCGTTTTTGGCGACATTTCTATTAGAGTCGAAGGGGAATTCAGGCTGAAATTCAATCTCTTTGAGATGCGGAAGTAAGTCTTCTTCAGGGCAACAGACTGATCTCCTGATGCTAAATTCTGGTAAAGGACCGAAGTAGTCTATATTAAATCGATCCTTACCCAAGCCTTTCATGGTGAGCCCACTCTCATGTTGAACCTCCAGGATCAACTCTGACTAGAGCAACAGCCTCGCCGCCCAAAACGTTCCCAGGTATGACTGAGTCTACGTTCCTCTCAAGATCATTTGCAGACCAGGGAGTCAAGTTACGGATTCGTAAAGAAGCTCGAACACTCCTGTGAGTACTCTTCCCGGAATCTTTTAGAGTGGGCAATTCGGCTTACTACCATAGAAAACGACAACTGCCGCGACCTGAAGAATTCCCTCCCCCCCTTCCACGCTACCCAGATAGACCTAGTTCGGCGTACCCCGAGCGACCGGTGCAGGTGAACGTTCAGACGCAACCAGCGATGAATACTTACGCCCAGGCTCAGGGTCAGCCTCAACCCCAGGCCCAGCCCCAACCAGACCGAGACTACTCTCCGTACTATGCTCCAGCCCCAAAACGACAAAGAAATTCCATGGACTTGGGAGGGCGGCAATTCTACGACGGTGATAATCGGTACGCAGCAGCTTCTCGCCCGATAGATAACTGGCTAGTTGGAGGGTCGAGCCAAGGCCAGCCTTAACCTTTTGGATAATCGGTGTTATTGTTATCCCTATCATTACTTTCTTCCTGTTTTTTTCTGGAACCGGGTGGCCTCTGCGTGCTGGCGTCTTGGGGTGGTGTTATGTGGCGTGTGGGCATGTGGGTATGCTGATTTTGTGTATATAAAACAATGGGATTGCCTTGCTCTAGAATGAATCTTTCTTGTTGATAGTTACTCCGCATACAGCCGCTGCCTCATCAATCTAGGTTTGATATTGGGAGCCGCCAAGGGGCGATTCTGCAGCTTAGCTAAGCCCGCACTAGGCCGTTCCCGGCATGGCTTCACGGCCGACAACGGTTAGTGCCCTCGTGGGGTTCGATCTTCCCCCAGACTCGAGTTGATCGACGTGATGAGCCGGCGATGCGCACTCAACCCTGACCGGAAACCATCTCCACGAACAGGGCATTCTGAGAGTGGTCTTGCTGGTATATGCTGGCACCTCACTGAGACTGCCACAATCCCATACTCAGACGATTTTCTTCACCGTCGTCCCATCGCATCCCTTTTGCAAGTCTCCTGGTCGCTGGGGACGATTCTGTCCGGGTAGGTCGTGAGTCGTCGGACTGTTCTTCTTTTGCTCCTGCTGGTGCTTTTCCGCGAATTGCTACTGGCGCTTGATGCTCACCTGTCGAAAGGCATTGCTATATCGCCTCCTTGACCCCGTGTCCTCGAAGTCTCGCCGCTGGTCAATTGCCCGCAGTCTTGGTCGAAACGTTTTTGTTCTCTGGTCGAAGACCCCCTCTTTCCGTGGCTTGCGATCGAACCCGGATGCGCAAAGCTTCGTGAATGACGATGAGCTCGAAGTGTTAGACGAGCGAAATTGCATAAAAAACCCCTACGCATAATGTCTGAACGCGAGGCGGCGGTCGAAACGGAACGGGCGACGGCAGCCAAACCAAGAGGTCGTCAGCCGGGGAAGTTGAAACCGAAACTAAAAGATCAGGATAAGACGCCTGCGGCTAAAAGGAGGTGTGTTTCAACTGCGTGCATTGCGTGCAGGAAGCGGAAATCCAAGGCATGTTTTTTATTTTTGCATCCTGTCAACCTTGGACAATCTGACTGAATTGATCTTGAAAGTGCGACGGAAACACTCCTAGTTGTGCAGCGTGCTCTTCTGTTTATCATACGCCGTGTAAGTCTTTCTTCAAAGTCTTTTGCTTTTCCCTGGTTTTCTTCTGCTAATCTAAAGTGGCAGGCATATATGATCCAAATTCGGATCATCGTCGTAAGGGGGTGTATAAGCAGGATATTGACAATTTGAAAAACCGAAATACAACTCTTCAAACATTGGTTGAAGCCATTCTCAATTACAATGAAGAGGATGTCATGGACCTCGTGCGCCAGATGCGATCCAGCGATGATCTGGAAGCAGTGGCCGATTCTATCCTAAAGCGTCAGTCTAAACAAGATGCGCAGTCAACACAATTCTCTACACGAGATGAAGACGGAACCACTGGGCAAAATGTACCACAATTCGAGTCGGAGTTGGTTGGGAGGATCAGCGAACTCAGGCTTGATGGTACCGTAAAGTATGTAGGCGGAACTTCGAACCTGGTTTTCCTTCCTGCTGGTTCGGATTCGGACGATCCAATTTCCCATTTGCCTAACTCGACGGACGCTGAGCAACCTGGCGACTCAGTTACATACTGGACTACAGTCACCACAAGCAAAGAACTGGTTCGTCACCTGCTCACTATGTACTTCACTTGGCATTATCCATACTTTACTACTCTGTCAAAGAAGTTGTTTTACCGAGATTTCGTCCTTGGTCGACCGGGTGAATACTGTTCTTCGTTACTCGTGAATGCCATGCTTGCCCTCGGTTGTCATTTCAGTTCGTGGCCTGCTGCACGCGAGGACCCCAACGACTCTGCTACCGCTGGAGATCATTTCTTTCGCGAGGCAAAGAGGCTGATCTTAGAGAACGATGAGCATGAAAGGGCTAGACTTTGCACCATACAGGCCTTTGCGATAATGTCAGTCAGGGAGGCCGGTTGTGGCAGGGAGGGCTCGGGTTGGGTGTATAGTGGCATGAGTTTCCGCATGGCCTACGATTTGGGATTGAATGTAGATGCTACGGGCATTGGTTCCAATCGGTTGAGCGATGAAGATATAGACGCACGGCGGATCACATTTTGGGGATGTTATTTATTCGATAAGTTCGTACAACCATTGCGCCATGAATTGAGCCGTTTTTCTAACCGACTTGCAGATGTTGGTCAAACTACTTGGGTCGACAGCCTCAATTATCCGGCCCTCAGATCACCGTCCCCAAAGCTGATATCTTCCCAGATGAAGATTCGGAGATATGGTCGCCTTACACAGATTCTGGTGTCTCACAGGACCATGTGCAGCCTGCTCGGATAAGGGCAGCCGCATTGCAAATATCCAGACTCTGTGAAATCAGTAGCGACTTGTTGTCAAGCTTCTATAATCCGATTCCTGTGAATAGGCATATGGGGAAGCAAGAAGAGTTGAGGAGATTAAGTCAACTGCATACTAGGTTGGAGGCATGGAGGAGAAACCTTCCAAAAGAGATGGAACCGAAGGACGGTCAATTACCCCAGGTTTTACTAATGCAGTAAGTCGTCATCATGCGCCCTAATCATAAGTTTCCGTTCTCCACTGACTCGTTCCCAGTATGTTCTTTCAACTGCTTTATATCCATTTATACAGGCCGTTCCTCAAATACACTAAAGAGACTTCTCCATTGCCACAGCACGTATCTCCGAGGAAATTGTGCACTCAGAGTGCTTCTATGATTTCGAAACTTCTTCGAATATACAAGCGGAGTTACAATTTACGCCAAATATGCAATGTTGCTGTGTATATCGTACATTCTGCATGTACAATTCACCTCCTTAACCTCCCCGACAAAGCTTCGAAAAGGGATATTGTATATGGTCTCAAAAATTTGGAAGAAATGGCGGAGAGCTGGTTATGCGCCCGCAGAACTCTCCGGATTCTAGACATATCTGCCCAAAAGTGGCATATCGCACTACCTGCTGAAGCCACCGCCGTTCTTGAGCGGTCACACGCCAAATTTGGCTCTTGGGCTTCCTGGGATCAAGTCCATTCGCCATCTACATCGGATGAATCAACAAAATTGGCAAGCCATGAGGCCCAATCCGTTCCTTCGACGCGTGGATCGACTCCCGATGTGGCTCCAAATATTCGCGAGCCTAATGCTCAGCCATCAGAAATCTCAAATCTAGTCAATCCGACGATACCACAGCTCGCACAGTCGTTTGGACCTAACACTCAACCCTCAACAATCAATCATGCTTCCTCAGCAGAAAGCTTACGAGGTGGTCCGCCTTTTCAAGCTGAACCCCCGGCACCTCCTCAGTTTACAGACGCTGAAATTCGGCCAAAAATAGAGAGGGGCGACTCCCCACCAGTTATAACCATGACAGACATTGCTTCATCTAGCTTACAAACGCCTCAAATCCCTGCCTTTACTGGTATTGATAACCTCGTGGAAGAAAGTCAAGATTGGTGGTTCAAAGACCAGAATGCTTTGGCTCTTGGGCTAGACAATTGGGACTGGGGTAGTCCGGATGGAGCCTGCGGAGATATCGACGTTGATCGGACACTACCACCGACAAGCACGCAGACACCGGTTTTTAGCGAAGCCGCTCACATCATTCCTAGCCAAGGTAACACAGCCATCAATACCAACATAGGAATACCTATTACTCCGCATGTGTACAGCAGCGGCTATTATCCGCCTAGTTCAAGGCCTGAAACGATGAATATCACACAACCCTACACAGGACCGCCGTCCGAAGAGGGACCCAGTCTAATGTATTATTAACAGTATTGCATATCCGCTGCCAATGTTTCCGACGTACGATTTTATGAACGCACATTTTTTAGTTGAGACCTGGAACTGCATTTTGGCTTTAGCCCATTTTGTTTGCTGCACCTCCCTTTTCGCAGTTATGGTATACTCCTAGTTTTTCTTTTTCACGACGATGTTTGGCGTGAGACGCTTGGTTCTTAGAGGTGTTGTGTGTAGACTTTATATCAGCATATTCCCCGTCTGGTGGCTTCGTTTGTCCAGGGTAAATGGGTTTACGGTGATCTCTCCACCTCAAGGAGTTTGTTATTTATTGGCTTTTTCCGGTTTTCGTTGGTTTTATCGCGATTCGGCCTTTTTTTTCTCCCTGATTATTCGAGTACTTGCTATCTTGTGATCTTGACTTGGATATACATAGTTTTGTCTGTATATAGTTTAATTATTGGGTTTTAGTTTCTGGTATTATAGTAGTCAAACCCCCTTGGATCCCGCTGTTTACAGACACATACACCCACGGGCAATGGGGGAAACGAAGAAAACAAATGCAAGTACCAAGGGCTCAAGGTACTGGTATCACTGTTGATTGTGTGCCGTGGTTAGCATGCTACTTCCAAGGAATGGGGACATCATTGAAACGGACTCACCAAGAAGTAATCTGCAACGGGTTTCTTCGCCGGCATGCCTCTCGTATCTTGGGGCGCAGCGTCAAATACACGATATCTTCTGCCTGGTCCAACCATATTTCGCCTCTCTCCATGCGCACCTCGCATGCCCCCGAGGCTCCGGCCATAGTCACCGTTGCTTCTCGAGATTGTGCCTCCGTTGCTTGCGTCCTCACCCAGCTCCAGTATCGCCGCGACATTCCCGCATCGATAACAGTAGTTCGGGGCTGACCAGACCGTCACGATTCCACCGTCGAACATCTCTTTGAAGCCTTCCATGACAAGCTGATGAGCACGGGCGATCAGGGAGAGGTCGTTCTTGCGGCTGAAATGTTTCACGATGTCGGCACCGAAGAGGAACCCTGCGCCCCTGGGGCTTAAACCCCAGCCTTCAATCTCGTCGGGGTCGGACCAGAGTAGGTCGCACATGGCGCCCTCGTGAGGGACTTCTTGCTTTCGATCGATGAGCCGGATTTTGTCGACGCTGTCGACGAGCGGGGAGAGTCCACCGTGAACGCAAAGCACGGCGCCCGTATTGCTCGACAGGCTCCCGAGGCTGTCTGAAGTCGCGCCGGTTCCTGCTGGCCCCGATCTTGACGGCGTAGTGGCTGGTGCTGAGGATATGTCTCTAGGCGGCGAAACGTCTCGAATGTCATTCGCTAATTCTTGCGACCCGCGGTCCCTCCGGCGGTATGTCGCGTAGGTCACTTCTCCTTTGGAGTTTAATACTTCTGTCTCGAGTATATCGTCTTCTCCAGCCGTGGATCCGGTTATCGACTGTGAGGCGGCCATGGAATCTTGAACCATCGACGCTGAGCCTCCAGTGGGCTCCAATTCAGAACTCGCTCCCAAAACCAAAGCGCCCAAAGCTAAATAATCAAATACTTCACAACAATAACGCCAAACGTTCGCATTGCCATATTTTCGAATACATTCATCGTAGAACCCGTAAACTGTCGTGATCTGCCTTGATTCGTGATTGCCTCGTATCAAGGTTATCCTATCTGGATATCGCACTTTTAGGCATAATAGCAAAAGGAATGATTCGAGTGAGTAAAATCCGCGATCGACAAAATCGCCCATGAACAGGTAGTTGGTATCGGGCACGTCTCCTCCAACGCGGAACAGCTCCATCAAGTCATGAAATTGGCCGTGTATGTCTCCGCAAATGGTAACCGGGGCGTCAACGGTGACCACATTGCCCTCTTCAATGAGTAATTCACGCGCCTTGTAGCAAAGCTCGCGAACCTGTGGTTCGGGGATGGGGCGGCATTGGCGCAGTTGCGCGATAGCTCTGGAACGCGAAGCCGCCCTGTCAATATTTGACTTAAAAGCGACAACCCAGATAGGGCGATTTGTCACTCACCTGTCTAAATCACTCATCTTGTTCAAGGCTGTTGACTCTCAAGATAACTCGGTTTCTGTGGCGCGCCTGCGATGCCTTGGCACAAGTGAGTTGAGATTTCGACGCTATCTGTGCAGAGGCTCGCACTCTTTCATTTTTGTAGCAACGGGAAGTAGCTAAGACGAGAGTCAAATATAGCCACACTGGTTCCGGAGAGCTAGGAATGAGATGGCACGATGGGCCTGAGCTCGTTGTGATAGCGACTCAACGAGAACTGAGGCGCCAAGCCCCTATCTTGATGTGATTGATGAGATAAGATTAGATGGCAGGCCAGAGCTGGACCGCTTTCTCCACGGCCATCGTAGCCAGCCTGACCGGAGTAGAATATTCTGATTTTTTCAACGGTCCCTCACTTTCTATACAATCGCCTCGTCTTCCCTCTCAAACTGCCCTTGTTTCCGCGATTTTCACTGCAATGACGTGCCAGAAAATCTGGATCACGTGATCTACACAATGCGAGTGTTCCGATTGGCCAATTGAGTTGATGGGACTTTCGGGACTGAAATGATTGAAGCCCGAGTTGGTCTCCGATGAAAGGTCAAGAGATTCAACAACCGTCGCTGTTTGAGACTAGGGGTGTGTGCAGACATTATGAACTATTTGTGTAAGTGGGCTTTGCTCCAGATTTGTTAATGTGCTGTCTGCAGCCCAATTAACCCGCATCTTTCAGGACTCCGCAAACTTGCTCTGGTTGCTGTGCGTTATGAGGAACCCGAAAGCGCACACCTGTAAATTTCTCACACGATGCCTCCCCATCTCCATCCCCGGTCGCGCTCGACCACGTCCCTTTTCACAGCCACGCTCCTTGCCTCGTTCCTGATAGTCGGCCTGCCCCACCTCTTCCCCTGTCCCGCCCCTCGACGCACTCTGGCAGACTCCGACATGATAACAGGGCCCGATGGCCAGCAAAGAATACGAAGACGCAGGAGGAAACAAACAGAGGAAGTAGATGCCTCGTCCAAGGAATCTCCTTTCGAACCTAGCCGCCAATTGGACGATGCCGCAGCCGAGTTTCGACACATGGACGAGGAAGCGAAAAGACTGAGAAAGGTGGGCAGAGAATGCCCGGTTCCGAAACCCAAAGGAATCGTCGGACAGATGCTAGGTTTTGATGTGCCAAAGGACAGCGGCAATAATCGCGACTTGGTGGGAGTGGGTTCTCCCAGGCGAGAAAATGAACAATGACCATGCGTTGGCGCGAAGGGCGTCAATACTCATGGGTTATGCTATGTACAATATGATCAAATCTTGGAAAAGGGGCTAGAAGAGGCGTTGGGTCGACCTTTTGTTTGGAAGCATCCCTCTCGCCTGTTCAAGTCGGTTTCGCGCCTGGATGACCGTTGAGCATGGTTTAATCCGAGGCCGCGAGCATGGCGAAACTTGCGGAATTATCGATCGCCATATGAATGTTTTGCTGTTGAGATCCAGTTTGAAAGAGAGCGCAGGAGGGCAATGAAATTGCCCTCGTGGGTTGACAGGCTTGGGAATTGGGAATTGCGTATCTCAGACGAAAACTGTAGCTCATCTCCACCTATGGATGATATATCCCATGTACTTACAAGCAACTCGAAATTTATAGACTTAAATATCCAAAATCGCACTCGCGGATTGTTGCTCCGCCATTGGTGGCCCTTGTCAGGGACAAACCTTCCAGTGTCTGTCTTCAACACTTCGAAAAAACCACACGTCTTCACAATTTGATCAGCTTTTGACAGTCACCCACCACAGAGGACAAAGTCGGAGAGATTTACCACAATGGCATCCCGCTCAGAGTGCTATATGTACTGAAACTGACCGAGGTATTGCGCGGAAGAGTCAACAGCTTCCTAACCGTTGCGATGGAGCTGTCCAGGCTGCTTATTGACCTCTGCACCAATCCAAGGCATTCGATATGGATTTGCCCTTTGCTTCTCATAGCTGAAAGCATTCTATGCCGCCTTATTGTCTGGAAAATACCATGTATGCTACCCCTTATCCCCACACGCCTGAACCTGCAAATGGCATTACTCATGACAATGTCGGAGAACAGACACCGAAATCGACTGGTCTACATATATGCAACATATCTCTGCTTTTCTTTCCGGTGAACGAGACTATACTCTTCTCAAAGGCTCGACGGGACCCCTTGTCTACCCTGCCGGACATGTCTACATCTTCTCCTTCCTCCACTCCGCCACGGACGAAGGACGAAACATCGCCCTTGCGCAACTCATATTCGCTGGACTGTACCTCGTTACATTAGCTCTCGTCATGGCAACTTACCGGCAATCCGGTGCTCCGCCGTACCTATATCCTCTTCTTGTCGTGTCGAAGCGGCTACATAGCATTTTCATGCTGAGGATGTTCAACGATGGAGTTGCTACACTGTTCCTTTGGGCAACGATATACATGCTTCAGAAACGCCGATGGCGCACGGCTGTTTTGTTTTGGTCCGCGGGTGTAAGCGTGAAAATGACGCTTCTCCTCGTTGCTCCTGCGCTTGCGGTAATCTTAACACTGTCTGTGGGATTTCCCAACGCAGTTGGCCTGGGAATGCTGTCCTTGCTTCTACAAGTACGTGTGCATTTCAAAGCTACTCTCTGGTGACATAAAACTAACACATCTATAGCTTCTCATCGCTGTTCCCTTCCTCCAAAGAAATCCAGTTGGATATTTCTCGAGGGCATTTGAATTTACGAGGCAGTTTCTCTTCAAATGGACAGTCAATTGGCGGTTCATTGGCGAGGAAATATTTCTTTCTAGGGCCTTCTCAATGTCTTTATTGACAGTGCACCTATCTCTTCTATTTCTCTTACTCAAATTCTCCTGGCTCTCTCCGTCCGGAAAGAGTCCGACAAAGCTGGTTCAAGACATTTTGCAGGGGAAAACCACACGCTATCATTTGAAAAGCGGGTTCGTCAGCAAAACAATGTTGACCTCACTGGTTGTAGGTCTCCTCTGTGCAAGAAGCTTGCACTACCAGTTCTTTTCGTACCTCGCATGGGCGACACCGTTGCTGCTCTGGCAATCAAACGTCGGGCCATTGCGCATTTTCGCTATATGTTTAATCCAAGAATACGCCTGGAACGTGTATCCAAGCACTTTCTGGAGCTCAATGACGGTTGTACTAGTCCTTGCGCAACAAGTCCTAGCCTCTGCTCTCTAGCGACGATAAAACAACGGACGTTCTTTGTGCTTCGCAAGAGCAATCGAGTGTGGAAGTTCATGCATAAAGGCTTGATTATGCAATCGTATAAATTACTCCTGATTCCATTATCCGCTATCATTCCTCATCTGAGTCGTCCAATGGCGGCATTTTCCCAACGTTGGAGTCTTCGTCATCGCTGTCCGGCACAGGCTGTCTCACGAACTCTTTAGGCCTACGAAGCGTTAACAACATGAAAAGTCAGGGCACTACACAGGCTCACGAACCAAAAAATCGCCTTGCGCCATGCTTTTTCGTCTCTCACGATATTCATTATCTGCCCGGAAAGCTTGTTATCCCTCTCGTCGAGGGCATTGGTGTCAACGACAACAAAAGATCCCCGTTTCATCCAGATCGTCGAGCGGAACCGTGCGGGTAACTCCACTAACAACGTCTCTTTTGACGGAAGCTCCACGGAGTACACATTGTTTCCAGTTGCACGAACGACTCTTGCGATTCGATGACCTTCCGGCAAAACGGACGGCGGGGTGAGGGTTTCTTCAACTGTCGCTAACAACTTTCTCCTCGGGGGCGCCATTTTTCAACCCGATGAGCGAAAGCCGGTGGAAGGGTCAACGAACAGCTTGTTCTCCAAATGGCGTTTTGTGGACTGAGGATCAATGCCAAGGCCAAGACCAACATCGCTGATTACATAATCCAAACATGCCTCGCTAACATCTGCCGAAACGCGACTGTTTTATGCCAGTTGAGTTGTTATCCTTTCGCATTCCACAGGATCGTACTCAAAATGGACCCTTGGAGGCCAGCTCTCGTTCCAATAGCGCCCCGGACACATATTGATAGTGTTGAAGTCATTCCTAGTATGACCGCTACTAAGATTGGCACCCAACAGTTCAGGAGCCTTCAAGAAGCAATCCGCTTTATTGAAAATCATCCAATCCAGCAGCGTTATGGGTTGCAAATGCAATTAATGCAAGGATTGATGTCAGCCAACCAGTTACTTGAAGACATCATTACTGAATTTTATGACTATGTCAAATCGTCAAGCGCATGGGAGCAAGTGGGTCAAGTCCAGTTTGCCAGCGATTTTCAAGAGTCTAAAACGGTTATGGAACGGGCGTTGAAACGGCGCTCAGACATTTCCTGCATCAAGGATCGTCTCATTAGTAACTGGGGCACTGAAAGGATTGAAGGCCTCTGGAGACATATCAAAAGCTTATGGACAGCTCAAAGGGCTAGACGAGCATTGAATAAGTTTAGCGACTGGGACGCGTTCGTCCACCGGTTAAATGTATCCATTCTTCTTCGACTTAACGCGGAAGGAGCAGGCCACCGTCGCACTGTTAATGTGATACCAGGTGACTTTGACTACGCATTTGACAATGCTAGCAATGACATTGCGCCAGTAAATCTTCAGGACATTCGACGATTAGGATTAGATGTTGGCCCACAAGGGATTTTACAGCAACTTAACCTCCCAGAGAATTACAAGCAGCCTGTACAACGCCAAATCAGGAGCAATAGACCAGAGGTTGTCCCACAGTTGATTCTGGAGCAACTTAACCTCTCAGAGAATTACAACCAGCCTGGACGACTAGACGTTGGCCCACAAGTGATTCTGCAGCAACTTAACCTCCCAGAGAATTACAACCAGCCCGTACAACGCCAAACTAGGAGCAATGCTAGTGGCGCCCCGGAAAGGATGGAGCTTGCCGAAGACCAGGCTACGGATGCGCTTCAAAGCGTATCTCGCCCGCGCGGAAATAAATGGCGCTTGCTTAGCTGCTGCTTGATGAATTTTGGAAACGGCCTAAACGATAGTGCCCCTGGAGCCTTAATCCCGTATATGGAGAAAGAATATGATATCGGCTACGCCGTTGTTTCCCTCGTGTTCGTCACAAACGCGTTGGGGTTTATCCTCGCTGCACCGTGCACCGACTTCCTTGAAGCTCGTCTAGGTCGTGCTCGAAGTTATGCTCTGTCATTGTCAATGGTCGCTGTTGCCCACGCCGTTATGATTGCAAAGCCTCCGTTCCCGGTAGTCATGACATGTTTCTTTTTCATTGGATTTGGACTCACGGTTAATCTTGCACTTAACAATGTGTTCTGTGCAAATCTCGTCAACAATACGGCTGCGCTTGGAGGTCTTCACGGCGGCTACGGTGTTGGAGGCACGGTCTCACCATTGGCTGCAACTGCAATCACAGCAAGTGGTATTCGCTGGAGCATGTTTTATATCATCCCATTGGCTGTAGGGCTGGCCAATATCGCATTCTCAGCATGGTCTTTCCGAGAATACGTGGAAGACCAATCGGCAGCTGGGGACCAGCGAACATCTTCCGAAAGACCAGCACAGAGCGCCCAACTCAGTAGAGGCCGTTTGCTCAAAGAAGCAATAAAGAATAGAGTTACACTTCTGGGTGCTTTATTCATATTTGCTTACCAAGGTGCTGAAGTTTCCATCTCTGGATGGGCTGTGTCCTTCCTTGTTTCCTACCGTGGAGCGGATATTGCCAAAGTCGGATATGTCAGCACTGGCTTTTGGGCTGGTATTACCGTTGGCCGATTCTTACTATCCCATCCGGCTCAAAAGCTGGGAAGGAAGACGTCTGTGGTTGGCCTTATTATCGGGTCGGCCGCTTTCCAGTTGGTGGTCTGGTTGGTCCCAAATGTCATAGGTGATGCGATTGCACTCGCCATTGTTGGTCTTCTGTTAGGCCCGGTCTATCCGTGCGCCGCGGCGGTTTTCAGCACGCTGCTTCCACGCGGAATCCAACTTTCGAGCCTTGGCTTTATCAGTGCCATGGGCAGTAGCGGCGGTGCAGTGGCCCCGTTTTTTACAGGTCTCCTGGCGCAAAAGCTCGGCACGGTAGTACTGCATCCTATCTGTATTGCGTTGTATGCGGTGATGATGGTCTCCTGGGGCTGTCTTCCAAAAATTCAAAAGCGGAGTGAATAATCTACCCATACAGTTTTCTCTTGTGAATATCTCTTCATTCAGATATATAAATAGAGATTAACCCTGCTTGCCTACTTTCTTACCAGACACGTAAACATCGCAGGCGGTGTTAGGAGTTTCCGCTCTCAGGTCATGACCATTGGCAAGCATGCCGCCATTCCTATTGGATGGTAGATATCTTGCTTTGGAGTCTCTCCGCTGGTAACTTCTGGCTGTGTAAACTCTCCAGGCAAGTTAATCCAGCAGAGTTCGTTTTTGGAGGCCTTGCGACAGTAGGAATTCCCTTCCTTTGGCTGGATGTAGGGAAGTCGAGCTATAGATTGTAGTCATATTTTCTGGTCGTTATCAGAGCCGTTTTCAAGGAATTGGATTGTAATTCACATGGCGAGCCAACCGTATTATTTTCGTAGGAATAAAAAATCAGGGCGAAACTCGGTGTTCCATGGTTCTCAACGATATCAAATATGGTCTCCTCTTGGATCTAGTTATTAGGAGAACGGCTGATCGGGACGCAGGTGATACAAACGAGACTGGAGTGCGAGGATCCTTCCCCCTGCAAGAGCGTTGAAAAGCGCATCCTCCATGAGCAGCCCGTACTTGTCTCACAGCAGACCTGATTTACGGCCGCAAGATCCCTTCGTGTCGAAGTCCAGGTCCCAAAGTCTAACCTGGCCGAAGTTCGGGATTGGGGTTGTTTGCAAGAAACCCATCCCCACCATCTGCAGCGGGCCCTCGTTAGTTCCCCTCCCTGATCGCATGCAGTCCACCCGTCACCGTCCTTCGTCCGATCCCGCAACGGAAGAGCGTCTTGGATTCGTATAATTAGCAGAGGGCGGGTGAAAGATCAGTCTTCACTCAGGTCAGCATTCCTTATTCCTGAGAGCAGCGCAGGGAGTTTGTGACCTCTCGCATTCCCGCAACGGGCAGCTTCCTGCAAGCAACCAGAGGTATGTTAGCCCCAGTGATGCTCAGCACTCTCTGGTTTTCAGTCTGTCTATCAATCCCATGAGCCCTGCCTTGCAGCCTCTTTGTCCTTTTTCCCTGTTCTGATTCCGCCGAGCAAATTCGTCCCCGGAACCTTCTACGGGGCCATTCACGCATCCTAGCCCTATCTTTTCCCACGCAAACAACAGAAAACTTTTCAAAAATATCTCTTCTGACCTTCATCTCTGTACAGTATTCCTCTACTGAAATCACCTTTGTCCTCCATCCGCCTCTGCAAAGGCGAAACCGCAACCATGGACGGCGACGATGAGCTCATGGCCACGGTCTACCGCAAGATCGAGCGAGAAAAGGCTCTGATCAACGCTGCAACAAACTTGCGGCAGTCGACCAATAACCCCCTTGTGCAGCAAAGAGTCGATGCGAATATCCGGGATGGAAAGAAGAACATAGCATACCTTGAGGAGAAAATGAGGGAACTACAGATCCGTAAGATGGGTCGCGAATCGGGTCAACAGCCTGGTTCACCTACCCAACAGCGAGATTCTGTGGGGGGACCACCTCCTCCACCAAAAGATGGCGGTCGTTATTCGACTGATATGGGCTACGACCAGGGTGCGTCAATGCCATCGGGAGCTCCTTACCATGATCCCAGACCAGGGGCACCGATTCCCAAGGCGAGGCCAAACTTTAGCAAATTAGGTCTGTTAAACAATGATAATCCTTATCCATATGCGCCAATACTGACCATTGACTAGATCTGATTAAATACGATACTCCGTACTTGGGTCCCAAAATTCAACTCATGTTATCTCAATTGGAATTCAAATTAAGTGTGGAGAAGCAGTATAAAGCCGGTATTGAAAAGATGGTTCGATTATATCAAGATGAAGGCGACCGGAAAAGCCGAGCGGATGCTGAGGGCCGGCGGATTGAGAGTAATCAGAAGATACAGCTATTAAAACAAGCGCTGAAGCGATATGAAGATCTACATGTGGATATTGAAAGTGCAGACCATCCCGACGGTAAGTGCTGAAGTTGATATTTACATCTAGACGAAACTAGCCCTGACCAATCTTGTTCTACTGCAGACGAGAGCCTGAGTTCTCCGAACATTCGGAAGCCTCTTACGGGCCATCTAACCATGCGCATCCACGCCGTGAAGGATGTAGACCATGCTGCGGGCTCGAGATTTTCCAGAGGTCCGGACACTTTCGTCATCATGAAAGTTGAAGATACAATCAAGGCGAAGACGAAAGCTACGCGCATTGACAAGTGGACGGAAGAAACTTTCAATGTCGACATTGACAAAGCCAACGAAATAGAACTCACTGTTTATGATAAAAGCGGGGACCGTCCTACGCCTATCGGCATGCTCTGGATAAGACTATCCGACATTGCCGAAGAAATGCGTCGTAAAAAGATCGAAACTGAGTTCAACACCTCCGGATGGGTTTCTGCCGATAAAATGGACCATGGAACTGGGAGACCAGATTCTCATTTCCAAATGAACCCTTCCCAGCATCCGGGACGAGGTCAGCCTGGTCAAACTGGTCCGAACGCAACAGTTATGATAGACTCTTGGTTTGCATTGGAGCCTGTTGGTAGAATTCATCTTACAATGAGCTTCGGTAAATATTCTCAGCCTCGAGTCACTGTTCGCTACTAACATGCATTCAGCCAAACAATTAAAAGATAGGAGACCGTTTGATATCGGGCTCAACCGCCAAGGTGCTGTTCGCCAGAAGAAGGAAGAAGTCCACGAGAAACAAGGGCACAAATTCGTGACCCAACAATTCTATAACATCATGCGCTGCGCCCTCTGTGGGGACTTTTTGAAATATGCTGCTGGTATGCAGTGTGCTGACTGCAAATATACTTGCCATAAGAAATGTTACCCCAAGGTTGTTACCAAGTGCATCAGCAAAGCGAATTACGAAACCGATCCCGATGAGGAAAAAATCAACCACCGGATACCCCATCGGTTCGAGTTCTATTCTAATATCTCAGCCAACTGGTGCTGCCATTGCGGCTACTTGCTGCCCTTTGGTCGGAAGAACTCGAAGAAATGTTCAGGTAAGCCCCTTTAGATTTAGAAGAGTGTTCCAGTTGCTGATACATATTTTAAGAATGCGGACTTACCTGCCATGCCCAATGTGCTCACCTTGTTCCTGATTTCTGTGGCATGTCGATGGAAGTAGCCAACCAGATTTTGGAAACGCTTATCAAAACCAAAAACTACAATAGGGCAGGAGGAGCTATGGCTGCGAAGACCCTTCGGGCTGGTGGTAAACAACCCGTTACCGAACCTCAAAGACCTCAAGACGTAGGGTATGGGCAGAAGCCAGTTTCGGCCGATGCACTCAGTGCCGCACATACCTCTTACACGGCTCCCCAGTCAGGGCCCACTGGTAGACCAACGGCCCCTCCAACTAACGCAGCGGCGGCAGCTGCAGCTGCAGCAACTGGGATGCGGCCTCCATCTCAAGGAAGTCCCTATGACCGAGCCTCCACAGACTACACCAATGCTAGGCCTCCGTATCTCGAATCTCAAGCCCAGCAAAAGCCAACTCATGCCCATTATGACCCGAGCGCCTATGCAAGTGTAAACGCGTTTTCCCAACCACCGCAGCTTCCTCCTATTCAGGTAGCCCAGCAGGTTCCTCACCACTACAGCGCGCCACAGCAGACTCCGGTTGCTACTCAGGCACCCTCAGCCGTGATTCCCACGAAGGATCAAGTCCAGCCTCCTGCTCAAACTCAACAACCACCAAAACGGGTTGGTTTGGACCATTTCAATTTCCTTGCTGTTCTTGGGAAAGGAAACTTTGGAAAAGTCATGCTCGCGGAGACCAAAACGACCAAGAAGCTTTATGCTATCAAGGTCCTAAAGAAAGAGTTCATTATTGAGCACGATGAAGTCGAAAGCACGAAGTCTGAGAAACGAGTCTTTTTGATTGCAAACAAGGAACGCCACCCATTCCTGCTTAACTTACATGCATGCTTCCAGACTGAGACTCGGGTTTATTTCGTCATGGAATATATCAGCGGTGGTGATCTGATGTTGCATATTCAGCGTGGCCAATTTGGCTCAAAGCGGGCACAGTAAGGAGATTGCCAAATTCTCTCAAACACTTGCAACTACTAAACTTGTCTTAGGTTTTACGCTGCTGAAGTCTGTTTGGCACTGAAATATTTCCACGAAAACGGTGTCATATACCGTGATTTAAAGCTTGATAACATTTTGCTCACCCTCGACGGTCACATCAAAATCGGTGATTATGGCCTTTGTAAAGAAGATATGTGGTATAATTCTACCACCAGCACATTCTGTGGTACTCCAGAATTTATGGCACCTGAGGTACGAATCCGCATATGAACTATGGTATAACAGGCTAACCATTGGTTGTGCAGATCCTTTTGGATAAAAAATATGGACGAGCAGTCGATTGGTGGGCATTTGGTGTCCTCATTTACCAAATGCTTCTCCAGCAGTCACCTTTCCGAGGAGAAGACGAAGATGAGATTTACGATGCCATCTTGGCCGACGAGCCTCTCTATCCGATTCATATGGCCCGAGATTCGGTTTCCATTTTGCAAAAGTTGTTGACACGCGAACCTGAGTTGCGACTAGGCTCTGGTCCTACGGATGCACAGGAGATCATGTCTCAGCCGTTTTTCCGAAATATCAACTGGGAAGACATCTATCACAAACGGGTTCCCCCGCCGTTTTATCCAACCATTACGAGCCCTACTGACACTAGCAATTTCGATCAAGAGTTTACAAGTGTAACTCCAGTTCTTACGCCTGTGCAATCTGGTAAGTGCCCACGGCAGACATTCATATCAAATTCCGGCATTATACTAAACTTTCCCCAAGTTCTTTCCCAAGCGATGCAAGAAGAGTTCCGTGGCTTTTCATACTTTGCGGACTTTGTTTAATCCCCCAACGCAAGCGTATGGATGCCAATCTTGATTACCTTCGTGAGAATGTACCCTTTTACACTACGGATTTCACGGTTCTACGATGATATTCTCCTTAATTCGACATACCCCTTATTTTATCGGTAAAATGTAGCAGATCGGGCAACTAGCAGGAAATGGCAGGTGGGCTTTCACTATTTTTCGATGCGGTCAGGTTGGAGGGAGAGCCGATCGCAGCGTCTTCCTGGTTTTCACTATTCCATGCTCTTGTTAGCTTCTTGGCTCCGGTAGTAATCCATATGCGTTTAACTTTGCATGGAAGATATGTACCCTCAACAGCTAGTAAGCCGAACAAGAAGTTGCATTGTAATAGGACCTGCATTCCCAAATTGTTTTAGTTCACTGTTGAGAGGAAGTCTTCAGGCATCATGGGTAACGTCTCCAGCAAATAGCTATTGATACGGAACAACCGCCTTTATCATCGTAACCCACCAATCCGGTCCCGAGTCTTGAGTCTGGATTGGACATTAGACTCGAGCATGCTAAGCCGCTTGCCATAATCTTTTGTGCCCGCTTACACAGCATTTCTGTAAGGCAATTTCTGATAGTTAGCAAAACTGGGATTTATGTCAACGCATTGTGTAAGATTGTCCCATGGAACAAAGCTCATTGCATAGTAAAAACAATGGCCTTCTTTGAGGGTTATATCCAGCCATATTTATTTGAAGAGAATGCCGGCTCTTTCTATTCAAATAGGTTCAAATACTGACAGCTCTTAAGTCCACTTCAATAGTCGCCTCTAACTATGCATGTTTCTCTTTTTTGCTAGGCGTTTCAACCTAACGCAGATATAGCCAATTTTTCTGGGATGACAGCCATCAGTGTTTGACCGTTTATGATTAATGGCTTGCATCAACGTTTTTGATGGGGTATGGCAGCTTGACGCCTGCGACCGTAATTCTAGTTGCTACCATTTCGATGAAGACCTAGATGGCGCGACTCAGAAGAGCGACGAACAAAGGCCCTTGAAGCGCAGACGTCTTGAACGTACACCGCCCGTTGACGCAAACCCTGGTATGACACTCGACGGGGATACACTTGTTGAATTCGATTGTGGCAGTTCGAGAAGTTCTGCTACATTGGTAGGGTGTAGCGACGATGAGGCTGATTCCCAGCCTGGAGGAGGTTTGGATCTTTGTTCCCGACTCAACACTGAAGGGAGCTCTGATTCTGAGGATCGGGAAACACATGCAACGGGACGGTCGCGTTCGACATCTGCAGAAATCTTGCAGAATACTCCTAACACTTCCCCGCTTACCGAAACACCAAACCGCCCGAGAGTCCCTCCGGAAGAGCAAGGCAATGACCTTGATAACTGGATGAAGGGGTGGGGTCCTAAGTCAGATGGAAAACGCCGAGCTGCAACTGAATACGGTGTGGAGAAAGCGAAGCGATGCGCGGCTGCGGTCGAACTCCCATCTGGACATTGGGCAGATGCAGAAAGAGATCTTTTCTTCCGCCTTGCAATGCGAGGGTTTGAGCCACTGGTGCCAAATAGTTGGAGGTTGGATTTCCCCACGTTTCCTGAGCCTTTGTTTTCCGCTCGAGATACAAAGGAGTCCTTTATAATGTCATTGAACGGGCATGAATTCCGCGGTGCGTATAATCCCTTTCATGAAAAATCCCATGAAGCCAGCCAGCCGCTGAAGGCACAATAGCAATCAAGGCCCTGAAAGAGCTTCTGTCGATAGGCCCACGGGTTCGAGACCGCCAGCTCTCCCGCCTCCGGTTTGAGCCAGTACTGAAGCGTATTCTGGGGGCGTATGTCCACTGGGCGCTTTGGGATTGTAACCTTCATAACCATTCACGAATTATGCCGTATTATATTATATATGCCCTTGGGCAAAACGAATCGGTCGACTCTGGGGTAAAGCAGATTATCAATGAGCTTATGGCGTTGGCCAAACAGCATCAGAGCACTTGGAGTCGAACTCGAAGAATAGACCCAGAGAGTGATAAGGTACGGGATCATTATGATAAAGACCACGCTTTCCCTGTGCTCACGGGATTCCTAATTTGCGGGTCTATCGTTGCCATTATCACGCTGGATTCAAACCCGCGTATACTCTCAGTCATGGATCCGCAGACTTCCGCTAAATTCATTGCAAAGTTTGACTTCAGTGAGCCTGGCCAAGATGTGTGGAATTCTCTGGCTGTCGCAATAGCCGTGCTTCGTATGCGTAAGACGATGCTGCAGCTGGACCTGGAGCATAGAGTAGATGCAGTGTTGGAGACTTGCTGTGAGGAAGTTGATGAAGATGCTTGACGAGAGGATTCGGCAGATGTTACTAAATGTAATATAAACACTTTACTATTGGCGGAATTAAACAATTGAACCAGTGGAATCTCCAGTTTAATAATAATTTGTATCCACCAGTAATTTATGTGTCACAGCGGTACAGCACATCAACCTCATCCTCGCAGGCAGTTTGGCTCTGAATCGCGGATGGCGGACAGGCACGTCAACATCGCGTAGCCATGGACGCTTCCGGCGATAGAGACGTGGAACTGCAACGTGCTTCTGGTGATCTGATCAACGAATTCAAAGCGAAGTTACCGCACCTCCTTTGGAAATCCGCTGATGGCAAGCGTCAGGTCCATCGATGGGCCCAATGTGCAAAAACGGAAAGGTTGAGAGGACTCGTAAGTGCGATTCTGTGCCTTTGCAAGTATAGCCAGCTAAACAACGGATAGCTCGAACCCTTTCAGGAATGGCCCCAGTTGCTAGATGCCCACTTACAAGGCATATTATCCCAGCTAACCGAGGCGTTTCTTACATACCTTGGGTCTTATCAAGACCAATATGCATCGACGGTGGCTATTCGCGTTCCCAAAAATGGAGCCGTTGATCCGCTACCCCGGGCTATTTGCAGGCTGATCTATGTCCTGTGTAAAGTCCGGGGCGTGAAAGTGATTACTAGGTTCCTCAACAATGAGCCGAGATATTTAGAACCTATCCTTCGCGCCTTCATTGACTGGGATGGCATAACCGCGAGCAACCAAGCGGTTCTGGCATCTACCGGTCAGGGCCTGCCGCTGATTTGGGAAGAAAGATATGTCATGCTCCAATGGCTAGCTCACCTGTTCCTAGCGCCATTTGACCTATCCTCTATTTCCCCCGATAGCATCCCTATTCCATACGATACTTTGTCTGGTCTGACTGTGCTCCCGGAACACATTCCTCCAGTGGCCGTATCCGCTCTATCCATTGCTCTAAATTATGTGGTACTTCCGGGGATAGAGAGAGAAGCTGCTGTTGCCCTTCTAACTAGGCTGGCATTAAGGTTAGATATGCAACGACTGGGCCTCCTGGACGTGCTGATAAATTGGGCCTTTAAGGTACTGAATTCATATACTATTGGCTCTGCCTCTCCTGAATATGCCAGTATCGGTATATTGTCCTTTATCGCGCGTCTAGGAGTACAAGCTCGATTAGATGATATTGCGCCATATTTGGTAGCCATATATGAGAGGACTGCTGCACTTTTGACGGGAAGCTCCCCGGTCTCAATGGCTATCCGGGCTTCGGCCTCTGCCAGAAAGGCTGTGATAAAAATTTTCCGATCAATCATGGTTCTTATGCTCACATTAGAGGAGAGGCTAGGAAATTTCTCTGAAAAAAGCTCCATGCTTTTGGAACATACAATAGATCACTTTCTTTTAGCGCTTGCCGACAAGGATACTCCCGTTCGATTTGCTGCCAGCAAGGCCTTGAGTATGGTTACTCTAAAGTTGGATCCCGAAATGGCCCCTGACATTGTTGAAGCCGTTTTGGAGGCATTGGAGGAGGATATTCTCTATGAAACGCAGGCTGGGACATTAATATCTTCCTTTCAAGCTGGAAATACTAGGTCGAGTTTATCAAGACGGAACACGAATGCGGTTGACCCCCAGAAATGGCAGGGGTTGATTCTTACGCTAAGCCAGCTACTCTTCCGTCGAGCACTTCCTCCATTCTATCTTGACCAAGTATTACAATCCCTACTCTCCGGCCTTGAATTTGAACAAAGATCATCCACGGGTAGTTCAGTTGGGGGTGGCGTCAGGGATGCCTCTTGTTTTGGTATTTGGTCTATTGCGCGAAAATACACTTCCAGAGAGATATGTGCGCCGGATCCTCAAAAGATTAAAGTCGGAACAAACAAGGATGAAAGTGTTCTTCAACTTTTAGCTGTCGAGCTCGTTTGTGCCGCATGTTTAGACCCCTCAGGAAATATACGTCGGGGTGCTTCAGCTGCATTACAAGAATTAATTGGTCGCCACCCGGATACTGTTCTAGAAGGGATTACTCTTGTCCAGATCGTTGATTACCATGCAGTTGCGCGACGAGCAAAAGCTATGCAAGAAGTTGCAAAAGATGCGGCTGGCATTGGGCAGTCGTATTGGGATTCACTTCTTGACGGATTGTTGCAGTGGCGTGGGATAGGATCTCCGGATTCCCGGTCCAGAAGAACTGCTGCCGCTGCCATTGGAGAGTTAAGCATTCAGGAAGGTTATAAAAGCATTCTAACCGTACTGCGTCGAACTATTAAATGCCTCTCAGCAGTATCCGCATACGCCATCGAAGTACGACATGGGTGTTTGCTTTCGCTAGCTGCTGTGGTCGATGAATTCCTGGCATATCGATTGAAAAACCCTAGCGAGGACCAGTCTGCCCAAAGTGTCGCACTTGAAATATCTAGCCTCTGGGAAGTCCTAGACAGGCAAATCGGACAGTCGAAGGACAGCCTTACTCTTTCTGAGCTTCGACCAGACTTGACTACTGAAGCGTCTGCGCGGTTTTTGTCTTCGCTTGCTCGTTCCTGTACCGACGGCAGTGCTAGCCCAGCTGTGCCCAGGCCATCTGAAAAGCTGCTTGAAAAGGCTGTTGATATCTTGATCCTCTGTGTTTGTCGAGGCGACGACATTCCCATTGAAGCATCATCGCAAGCGGCGTCAGATTTATTTGCTCTTCTCCCCTCACAGAAGCAAACGGAAGTGATAACGCTCTGGTTTGACAACATTAACGCTAGCTGGAAGTCCACGTCAGGTCGGGGTCAAATCTCAGCACTTGGGGCGGTTTTTAAGCAGCTTCCCGTGTCTAGTGAGGGGAGAACCATGATTTTAAATGAGCTTCTTAGATCTACCAGCGAGGAGGAATCGATTTCAAAGAGGTCGTCCGCTGTGAAGTGTATCACAACGGGAATTTTACCTTACGCGGGTATTTGCGCACCAGCCTTAGAGAGCAAGGACGTATGCTGACATCAAGTTTGGCATAGAAAACGTCAAATCCATATCTACTCATTTTGAAGCGTTCCTTAATGATTATACTACCGATCGAAGAGGCGATATTGGGTCGTTTATCCGGCTTGAAGCCATTGGTGGTGTCAATTTTATTCTCAACTCTAAACTGATACAGCCTTTGGAGTTGTATGATTTGATGAAATGCGTGGTGAGGCTTACCGCCGAAAAGCTAGATAAGGTGCGCTTTCAAGCATGGAAGTGTCTCGTAAGATTCTGGGAGGAGTCACCAACGCTGCCCCCTTTGCAGGAGTAGGTTTCGCTCTCACATTTGAATACTCACAGGCTGACCATTCAAGGCGCTATGAACACTTGAGCGAGGTATCCTCAACAGGGTATTTCTTACAGCTCTTTTCTCTCCTTTCGGTGGACTGGATTCGGCCATCCTTGTTAAGGGGTGTGGCGACTTCTGCCAGTGCTGGTACCGAAGGTTTAGTTAAATCCTCAAGGCTTGCTCTAGCACAATATATCAAAATGTACGGCGACGATAACGAATGCCTACTAAAGCGAAATGTTTTTGACGACTTGATGCTGGCGTTGGAAAGTACGATTGATGATGACCGTTACGCTATACCCACTGTTGATACCATTTGTTTCTTACTTGACAATTGCTTTGAGAATTCCGCACTGTTAAATCTCAAGTGAGTTGATTATCAATGCTCTGAAATGAGAATGATGACTACTGACACGACTTTTATAGTTTCCGAAAGCTCTTTCTTCTGGTCCAGAAATCGCACTTTAAATCCTCAAATATACCCAGAATCGAGGCTGCAATTAAACTGTATTCCACGCTACTGCGCCAGGAAACCATTCGGAAAGATGTTATGAAGAAAATGATTAGCATGCTATTGCATTCCTACCCCAAGGTATGCAGCTACCCAATCAGCATCAAATGACGATTGCTGACTTGCATTTAGATCCGCTCCGCGGTAGCTGAATGCCTGTTTATGGAGACTGGAAACGATGTATTGAAAAAAACCGATTGGTTATCTACCCCTAAACAATTAAAAGGCACTGTTGATGGGTTACGACGGATTTATCAGCTTAATTGAGGGAGTTGTATGAGTCCTGCCAGTCCTCGAATTTTGATGGATTAGAGGCTGAAATTTGAGGGATAGGCACACATGATCGATTTGCCCCAAAAATAAAAGGCAAGGGAGGATGTGAAAATAAATCATTCATGGGGTTATACTGATATCAGAAGAAGTAACGAAATATGAACCCCATCGTTGTTAAACCGTAGGCCAGTTATCATAGTAGAGCGCAGTTTGATCCATTTTCTTGGCATCGACCTTCGGCCCGTCGTTTCGCCGGGCACCTTTGGGAGCTGGTGGAAGTTACCAATGGCTTCACGTCGCGCAACAAGCTCCTGTGTTCCAGGGCTGCTGCGGAGTATTTACGGTTTCTCTCTTTTCTTTCGCGGGAAAATGGCTACTCTAGCCCCAAGTTCTTCCGGCATTCCGCCGAATCCAACGTAAGTCTTGATCCTTCCCTTCTCCAGAGCTCTCGAAAACAGCCAGCTAATCTTCCTGATAGTGTTTATGTACGCGGCAATATTCTACCCGACAGTCGTCCATATACCCGTTACTAACTTTGAAGCTGCGCTGTATAGGTCCGAAACCTTGAAGAAAGAGTAAAGGTCGATCAGCTAAAGGAAGCGTTGAGCGAAATCTTTGCCGAGTACGGTTCGATCCTCGAGATTGTCGCAAAGTCAAACCTCAAGGCTAAAGGCCAAGCTTTCATTGTTTTTGACAATGTTGATTCTGCGACACGCGCTATCGAAGAGATTAATGGGTTCGAGCTTTTTGAAAAGCCCATGGTCTTGGATTACGCGAAAACAAGAAGCGATGCTACCGTGTTGAAAGAAGCCGGTGAGCAGGAATTAGAGACACATAAGAGGAGAAGGTTGGCCGAAAAAGGTTAGTTACAATATTTCGTCGCGTTTGCCGCCGGATGGTTTTATGCTAATCTATGTTGCTTCTGATGGATAGAGAGAAAACAGGCCCAGGAGGCGCTCGAGAACCAGAAGAAACTTAAGAGACCGGCCGGCGCTGCTGCCGACACTCGCCCCGCCAAGACGACGAGAGGTGCAGGGCTGAAGCCGACTGGCGCTGCTGCCGCACCAGTTATACCGGACGAGTACCTTCCACCCAACAAGATTTTGTTCTTACGGGAGGTCCCCGATTCATACGATTCTGCTGGCCTTACGGCGATATTTGGCCGCTTTGAAGGCTTCAAGGAAGTTCGTATGGTACCAGGCCGAAAGGGTATTGCGTTTGTGGAGTATGAGAGTGAAGCTGGAGCTATTAGTGCCAAGGAAGCGACCTCTGGCATGACGTTGGGTGAGAACGGAAAGCCGATGAGGGTCACATACCAGAGGCAGTAGAGACTGAAATCTGCCCTTTTTACATTCTGTTGGATGATGTAACGATATTATTGGTTGTTTAGGCGTCTGGTCAGCATTGATTCATGGAATAGGCCCCGAATTAGCATTTGATCGCACGGTAGTTACAAGGAACTTCAGTAAATATACATCCTGAACTATTATGTGAGTCGTCATTGCAATTTTCTAAAAAATCAAATCTTCGTCATCTTCTCCAGCTAATATATCTGCAGGGCTATCTGTATCAGCGGTCTTGCTAGCTGCCTCTGCCTTCTCTCTACTAGCTTTGATCTCTGCATCCAGCGCAGCGGTATCTCGTTGTTTCTTGTTTGAAACCTAACACGTTTCGCTTAGTAAATGGGTTGAATAACTGATAAACCTCTTACCTTTTTTAGTCGGTAGAATTCCTCCCGATCTAGTTCATCTAGCTCTGAGTTGATATCTAACTATCTATTAGTATCAAAGCTATCATGAAAGAAAATGTTCTTACATTTAATCGTATTTTCAGTTCGCGGGATGATGACGTGCTCACTACAAACACGGAACAAAAGTTAGAATACCAGTGACTTGGACGCGAGGTTTCCAATCTAGGAGTCCCGTACATTGCATTAACTACCATTTGACAATTAGTAGATGAGTTTGAGTTAGATTTGGGCCAAAACATACCTCTGCGGTTTACTACTTTGATCACTTCGTCTAGGATCACGAAAGCGGTCTACAGAATGATCTCTGTTAGTGCAATGCTAACAACTAATAGCAGCGAGCTCACCTGTAAGCTTGCGAGCTCCACGAGTGTCTCAACGGCCCGGGCGTATGTCTCTCGACATCTTTGGACCTGCTGGCCTCCCTTGCCAAGCCCAGTCAGGCCAAAGTCGTTGCTCCCTTCGGCAGTTACACTCTCAAACTGCGGTAAAAGGACACCTGAGACGTTCTCCTGCTTCGTCCGTACTCGAAAGCGCGCCTGCTTGGCGGACTCCTGGATCTGAAAACCAATGTCACCACCAACGGCGTATGAAACCTCTGCGAGGGAGAAAGCCGCGATTTGCATCACACGGCCCATTTTCCTTTTGGCTTCATCAATTCGTCGCGTGATTTCTATGGAGGTATTAGGCTCGCTCAGGGGGGCAGGCTACGTGGGGATTGGACGAACCTCGGAAGCGCCTGCATTTCCACCAGATACAATTAGCCAGCTGCAACACGTAAAACTAAGACAAATAGGAGAAGCGTACTTTGTCAGTGCTTCACTTTTACGTTTCAAAAGACTGTGGCCTTGTTCCGCACCCTTCAACTTCCCCTTCATCAGACCCAGCGACTGGCGGGTCGGAAAGACGGGCTCGCGGTCCTAGCAACCAGCAATCAGCCACGGCGCTTCAGCACAGCATCACGGACAAGCAGCTTACAGCAGACCCTGACATCTTCAACAAACGGTATGAGGGGACACCCAGCAAAGATAAATGAAACCAAGGACATGCGCCTTATGTTTCGGCGCCCATCATCTGATTATGTCGTTCGATCACTGAACGACGCCCGGCGAAGCTTGGACCACCGGATGACGGACGCGCCGTTGACTAACTAATTAGTTCACTTTAGTGGTGGCCGGCCCGCATCTACGTCACGTGACGGTGCCTATTGGAACGGGTCTTTCAACATCGGAAGTTGTCACTCAGCAAAGAATTGCCAGCGCCAACAGTCGCCATTGTCCACAGGTCTTATCTTATAGCATCAGGTGGCGGCCTTATATAGGTCCCACTCTCGCGAGTGGTAAAATGCCGGGGACCGTTTTGGACGCTAGGATTTCGCAGCAGCGTGCTGAAATCGAGAAGATGGATTCGGTCCGACCTGATCTGTATCTGATTGTGAGTGCTGATGGGGCGTTACATTCGCTTGCTACTGATACTGACATGTGCCTCTATAGTCCAGCGAGGATACGGTGTACGAGCAGGACATCCTACGCGATCCAGGCAGTATCAAACCATGGCTATCTTACATTGAGTTCAAGCAGCAGAACGGGACGGCGTACGAACAGGCGTTTGTAAGTAGACATTAGAGATACGTGGTAGGTCTTCGTCTAATAACGCTTGAACAGGTCATGGAGCGAGCCTGCAAGCATCTGCCGAGATCATACAAATTATGGAAAATGGTAAATGTCCTCCGTCTTCCTCGCCTTTTGACAACTATTAATAGTTACAGTATCTTGAATTTCGCGTCAAACACCTCAGAGGTAGAAACCCAGCCGTTCACCGGATTGAATATCTCAAGGTCAATGCTCTTTTCGAACGAGCCGTAATCCTTCTCAATAAAATGCCACGCATCTGGGAAATATACCTCAGCTTTTTACTAGAGCAACCCTTGGTTACGCAAACGCGGCGGACATTCGATCGCGCTCTGCGCGCTTTGCCAATCACTCAACACAACCGGGTTTGGAAACTATATAAAGCCTTTGCCATTTCCGCCTCCGGTGAAACCGCGGTGAAAATATGGAATCGTTACATGCAAATACATCCGGAGAATGCTGAAGAATATATCGATATTCTAGTTGAAATGAAGCAATATACTGAGGCTGTGAGGCGATATATTGAGACCATAGACAACCCTCGGTTTCAATCCAAAAAGGGCAAGAGCCATTTCGACCTATGGACGGATATGGTGGAATTGCTTGTCAATCACGCAAAAGGAAATTGATACAGGTCCACAGACTGGCATTGATATAGAACAAATCATACGCAGTGGCGTTGACCGGTTTCCTGATCAGAGAGGAAAGCTTTGGGTCGGCCTGGCGACATACTGGATCACTCGTGGCAATTTCGAAAAAGCGCGTGACGTTTTTGAGGAAGGAGTCACGACGGCTATGACAGTTCGGGATTTCACAATGATATTCGATTCTTATGTCGAGTTCGAAGAATCTATTATCGGAGCTCTGATGGAATCGGCTGCGGTTCGGTTGGATAATGGCAAAGCCGATGAAAATGCCGACTTCGATCTTGACCTTCGCATGATGAGATTTGAGCAGCTTATGGATCGCCGACCATTCCTAGTGAATGATGTGCTTCTAAGGCAAAACCCCAACAACGTGATTGAATGGGGCAAAAGGGTGGCCTTGTGGGGAGACAATAAAGAAGAAGTCGTCCGCACGTACTCAGACGCCATGGCTGCCATACACCCCAAGAAGGCACACGGCAAATTTCATGAACTCTGGGTGAACTTTGCAAAATTCTACGAGAAAGGTGGAGATATTAATACTGCCCGAATCATTTTTGACAAGGCAGTTAAGGTGCCTTTCAAATCTGTCGAAGAATTGGCTGAAACGTGGTGTGAATGGGCGGAAATGGAGCTGCGGAACGAAAACTTCGATCAAGCAGTGAACATCATGGCCAAAGCCACTCTCGCTCCTAAGCGGTCTACTGTAGACTATTTCGACGACAAGCTCACTCCTCAACAACGCATACATAAGAGCTGGAAAGTTTGGAGTTTCTATGTCGACTTAGTGGAGAGCATCGGGACTCTCGAGGAAACCCGCGGTGTATACGAACGAATCTTTGAACTTCGGATTGCGACTCCACAGACGGTCGTCAATTATGCGAACCTTTTGGAGGAGAACAAGTATTTTGAAGAGTCGTTCAAAATCTATGAGCGAGGTCTTGATCTTTTCAGTTACCCAGTTGCCTTCGAGCTATGGAACCTCTATTTGACTAAGGCTGTCGATCGAAAAATCAGCATTGAGCGTCTCCGAGATCTGTTTGAACAAGCTGTTGATGGCTGTCCACCCAAGTTTGCCAAAACTCTGTACTTGATGTATGGGGATCTTGAAGAAGAACGAGGTCTTGCCCGTCACGCAATGCGAATTTATGAACGTGCAACTCGGGCAGTGTCAGACAAAGACAGATTTGAAATGTTTAATTTCTACATCACCAAATCTGCCTCTAATTTCGGCTTAACGTCAACCAGGCCTATCTATGAGCGCGCGATTGCAGCGCTACCGGATAATGAAGCCAAGGAGATGTGTCTGAAATTTGCGGAAATGGAGCGCAGATTAGGTGAAATTGACCGAGCTCGCGCGATATATGGACACGCATCCCAGTTTTGTGATCCGCGAACAAATGCTGGCTTCTGGCAGAAGTGGGAGACATTCGAAGTTCAGCATGGAAACGAAGATACATTCAAAGAGATGTTGCGCATTAAGCGAAGTGTTCAGGTTCAGTACAAGTATGTTATGGCCCTCTCTACTCTCATAACAGGTTCAAGCTAACATAGAATTACAGTACCGATGTCAACTTTATCGCGTCCCAAGCGATTGCGCGGAGCAAACAACTCACGAAAGAAGCTGCAGATGTGGCAGCTGCAGAAGAACCTGAGGAACGTGCAGATGCTATGGCGGCCTTAGAACGCCATGCTAAAGCCCCCGCCGGCTTCGTACCTGCAAGTACTGGACCGGAAGGAGGCAATCGTGAACTCGCGAATGGCGACGAAGCGCCTGCAGCAAACCCCGACGCCATTGACCTTGACGAAGATATGGACGCCGATGAACCTCAAGATGCCAGTTTATAGAATTCCCCGGTCCGGCGCGATGTCTAACTTTGAAATTCCAGGATGTCATTTCCGGCACAGCTTGCTTAACATTTTCCTTTCTATATCCATTGATCTTGACCCCGTACGATATTCTCTACTTTTGCCCTTTGATATTCAGCTAAATAAGCTCGTCATTCTTTGTATTCCTTATTTATGTTTTCATATTTCCGCTCCCTTGGGCCTCGCTTTTCCTATGTTTTCGGCTTTGTGGCAGTTGGGAAATGGATTCAGGCAAGGGTTGTCAGCGACATGGTGTTCAACGGCGCAAAGCTATAAATGGGCGTGCTGTTCTTCTGTTGGCCTCCTCACTTATCAAAAGCCCTCCCATCCTTTGAATGCGTGCCTTTTCATTTCACTCTGTAGCCTAAGAGAATGTAGCCCGTTATCTACTATTCGATACCATAGTTGAAGAAATTGATCTCAGCTTGTCACCTTGGTCGACGGCAGTCTGTGATTGGCCTCGCATGAGTGACGATTGATCTTCGTATAAACCACTTGGGCATAATTGCAGTCAATCATTATATTTGTCGTTTCAAAGGATACTTTACATATAGCGATTGTATTCCATAATGTATGTAGATCCGGTGTTGAATGCCTCCTATCTTGCATACCTCGAATGGCCTGTGGGTGGCTGCGAAACTAGTGAGGTGTGGTGGCATGAGAGCTTGCAGCTCCGCGCGCGGTTCTCGCCAAACTCCTCACAGAGCAGCAGTCTAAATCACTTCTTGGATTAGAAGTCCTATTGGCCTGTCCTGCAGTGTTTCTCTCGCTCCTTTTTGTCAATTGCTAACGGTTGTTGAGATGATGTTCTCCTGAAATTCTGGACACGTGGTTCGCTTTTGAGCTTCTGCCTCTCGCCTCTCCCAACCCGGCCGTGTCCCGACTTTAACGAAGAGGAGGTATCTACAGGGCAAATATGAGTGTCGAGTCTGAATTGAATGATGGTTCGCAGACCTCGCCGGCTATCCCCCAAACCTCAGTCCCGA